TTTAAAACCATATTAATTGAAACTTGCCAAAGAAAAGTTGAAGAAGACTATAATGAATAATTTTATAAGAATTATACAACAATATCAAAGACAATAGTAGTTAGGAAATAATTTACCTCTACTCTTCTGTTGTTTTCAACTTCAAGGTCAATCATTCGAGAGAAAACAAAATACCCACTAAAATATTAAGAAATTGACCAAATAGTGTCTCTCAATTGTTGTTATTTTATATATTTAGGACTAGCTGCGAGTTGTAGACAACATGGTTTAGTCTAACTTTATTGGAATGAGCTAGATTTTTGGAATGTATACTGGGAAACTACTCAAAGATACTGTAAAAAATGAAAGAACTTTCACCTCATCGTCGCATCCTAACTAAGAGCAGGAAGTTAAATTTTCAGAATAAACTCACCGATTACAACATCGCCGAACCATAAGTGGACACATAGTTTTGAAGATAATGATGAAAGAGATTATTGATGGTGGATATAGAAATTTCAAAGATGGAAAGAAAGAGTGAAATGTTGATAATATTTATGATTTGGATGAGGTGAAATTCTACTATCGTGAAAAGATATTTCACATTTTCAAACATTGGGAAGAATGAATAGATTGTTGATGATGAATATAAAGTTTCATTAATGATGATGAAGTTGTGTGGATAAGATGTTTTTGATGGCTGAGAAATAAAAAAGAAATCCAAAAAGGAATTTGCAGTAATTTCTAACATCAAAGAGTAAACTGAAGTGTTTTTTTGAATATGAAGTTTTTTAAAATTGATTCCCAACATGAGTTATGGTGTTTCCTTTTGATAAGGACTTCTGTTGATGACTAATCAAGAGGTTGTACAACTTATGATGTATGTTGTTTTTTTATAATATTTTTAGAAATTGAACAATTAGGATTACTTTATGGTAGCAAATAAATGATTCTGATAATTACTATTATTGTGTATAATATTAATTCATCCGCCCAACGGGTGGGCCCAAATCTAGTACCATCTTATTAGTTGGTGTAAAATAGTGTCTCTTTTCTGGTTTTCTCCTTCACCTAACCGTATTTTTGGATTCTAAAGTTGAACATTTGAATATTGATATTATATTAATGTGTTTGAATTTTCACTATATGTTGGATCCAAGTATAAACTGTTATTTTGATATAATATTATGTGTTAGATTTGATATAATTTATAAATGTATGATAAATACAATAAAAAAATTTCCCTATATTTATGAACTAAATCAGATTATTAATTCTCTCAACCCACTTGCTCGACCTGGCCTATTGCTAAATCGTGTTGGTATTGACAACCTTATCAAACATAGTGCTGATTAGAGGTGTCAAAATAGAACACGACCCGACTAACTCGCCCGATCAACCCGACCCGCAACCCGAATTGACTAAAAGTCAACAATCCGTAACCCGCCCGATACGTAACCCGATTGACCCGCAACCCGATTAACCTGAATCCGATGGACCCGGAACCCCATTAAACCCGCAACCCAATTAACCTGAACCTGACTAACCCGTGACCTGACCGACTAACTCGAACTCCACCCAATCCACTTGAATAATTATTATATTATATAATACATAGTTTTTCAAAAAGAAGTTTTCCATTATGAAGTTAGATAAAATCATTTTTTCAATTCGTATAAGGAATTTAAAAACATGAAACTCACTTGATATTATGTATTTTAAAAGATTACAAAAATTGAAACATGAAGGTCGCTTGAACACTAAGTTCTTTAACTAAATTAAAAAATCAAATACGAAATATAAAATTAGCACAATGTCAATATTGATATTGAAGATAATAATTGATATCATGGACAATATTAATATAATATACATAAATTAAAATTTTGGTTAATTTAACTATTCAACAAAATTATCAATTAAATATAAATAGAGTAAGATAATTTATTTGGTAATTTGATGATTTTAAAAGTAAAGGAAAATTTAGGTGTTTTCAAATTTTTTGGGAAGAGAAAGAATAGGGAAATTTGGTGCTTTGTATTTTTTAGAAAAGAAACAATAGGGAAGTTTGGTAGTTTTAATTTGTGTGAAGAGAAAAAAGTGTGAAAGTTTGGTTCTTTTGATTATGAAAAGAGAAATAAGGAGAAATTTTTTGTGTTTTCAATATTTTGAAGAAAGAAGGAAGAGGTAAATTTAGTTCTTTCAAATTTATGGAAGAGAAAAAGGAGGGAAAATTGATTGTTCCTAATTTATTGAAGGAAAAAGAAGGAATGAAATTTTAGTGTTTTCAACTTTTTGGTTTTTCAAAATTTTAGTCTTTAAAATATGAATCTTTAGGTTTTATATGGAGGCCATGACTAATTAACTATATTATGCTCTTATATGGAATGACTATTTGATTATATTAGATTTGAAAACCTATAATAATTTATCTTTATCTTCAATATATTATCACTCGAATTATGTCAAATGCATGTTATTTTACATTATAAATCATATACTTAATTACTTATAGATCATATGCTTAGTCAAGTTTTTGGTTCTAAACTTAGACACAACCATTTTAGAGTATAAAAAAGATCCCTCTATGTTTTGGAAATCAAAGTTTGAATTTCACTTATAATTAAATATAGTAGCAAAATCATAAGTCATAATATATGGTTTGGGTATATGGTATATATGGTTTAGGGTATAGCAAAGATCTCTTTTAATTTATGTTTTGAAAATCAAAGTCCGAATTTCACTTTAAATGAACTATAGTAGCAAATCATAACTTGTTAGGCTATATGGTTAGGGTATAAGGTATATGGTTTAATGTATATGTTTAGGGTATAAAAATATCCTTTTTAATCTATGTTTTGAAAATCAAAGTCTAAATTTCACTTTAAATTAACTATAACTACAAAGTTGTAACTCATAATGATATATGGTTAGGGTATTATGTTATATGGTTTAGGGTATACGGTATATAGTAAGGGTATGCCAAATATCATTTGTTTAATCTATGTTCTGAAAATCAAAACATTATTTTCATTTTAAATTAACTATAATAGTTAAATCATGACTCATAAGAATATACGGTTAGGGTATAAGGTATATTAAAGTTCACTATACCACTTTCCCCCACAACTTAGATTTCTCCCCACTTTCCCCTCCCCAATTTAGATTTACCTCCAAAAAAATTTCAATTTCCTCCTCCTCCAATTTACATTTCCCTCCAAAAATTTCTCCATTTCCTTCCCCTCAAGTTTAGATTTCCTCCACCCCGCAATTTTACTTATATATTTTTATGATACACTATATTTGTGGTTGGATTAGGACTATTGGATGAACAAATAAAAATGTTTATATCACCATAACTATTAATTAGTGTGCTTTACCGATTTACGATTAATTACATGACAAGTTTACAAGTCATACAACATTATTCAAATTTTTTTAACTTCAATAAATACATATAACATATTAAATACACGATGTGGAAAGAAATAGTATAAAAATTATGATTTTTTTTTAAAATAGGTTAATAAAATGTGCAAATTGCAGTTACAAGTAGGAAGTAAGTAACTCAATGTGCTGACCCAAAAACCCGCAACTCGAACCGCCCGCAACCCGCCCAACTCGCAACTTGATTGACTCCCAACCCGATTGACCCGGAACCCGATTGACCCGTAGCCTGAATGACCCGCAACCTAACTAACTCGAACCCGACGAACCCGAAACCCAACTAACCCGTAACCCCATTTAACCCGCCCGATTGACACCTTGATGAACCGTAACCCACGATTCAAGGGTTTTGCTTGTAACTCACAAGCGAGAGAAAGATGTTGGTGTCTATAAACCTTTGATTTATTTGATTGATACGGAACTATGCCAAAGGTACATATTTATAGGCTTAGAAAAGCCTAATACTTAACCTAATCCTACCCCAATTCTGCTACACCTTCCCAAACACAAAAGGAAAACTTGACCCAAAAGGAAAAACACCCTAGGCCAAACCGAAACTACCCAAAGCCCAAAACATGGAAAATACCCTCATCAATCCTCCCCCCTTGAAATCAACCTTCTCCTCAAGGTTGTCCCCTGCCATCTTCTTCCTCGAATAAGCACATCACCCTAGCATTACTGCATTTATGCCCGATGGTGAATCGCTCGTCGTAGTTGAAGCAGAGACTTTGAGCTCGCCGCAGCTGCTGCTCCTCCCAGCTCAACCTCTTCCCTCCTGGCGGCCCACGCGGTGGTCCTCCTCCTCCTTGAAATCCCGAGCTTGCAGTTCTCGGATTATAGCCACATCCTCCGCCAGTAGAGCCACCTCCACCACTGCCCGTCGGTCCTCCTCCTCCAGCAAACGACACCGCACGACCGGCTGGCTTATGGCGCTGAATTTGGTCATTTTTCATCCTCGCCAAGCTGATAGCGTCACACAAAGACTACGGACGAAACATCCTAATCTCATCGGCAATCTCCGGCTTCAGACCTCCTAAATACGTGCCCACCAGTACCTGTTGTGTCCAGCCGACACAGCGATTAGCCAGCTTCTCAAATTCCTTCTGGTAATCGCGCAAGGACCCTGTTTGACGAATCCGTGATAGGGCTTCGTCGCAGCTTTCTCCTTCCGTCGGACCGAATCTCGCCCACAGCTCCTGCGAGAACAGTTCCCAAGAAATTGGCTCTCCGTTATCTTTATAGGTTCATTTTAACCATTACCACCACTGATTTGCCTCCCCTTCCAGATGAAAGGAAGCTAGGGCACCTTCTGGTCCTCCGTAACCTCCTGGTACTCGAAAAACTGCTCAACTCGCGGAAACCACGATCCAAGATCATCCCCCGCAAACTTTGGGAACTCGAGTCTCGCGAGCTTGGCCAAAAAAACTCCCCCGCCACTGTTGCAGCCACTCCCGTCACTGGCCGGTTTGCCGAAGCTCCCCTGCACGGCCGAGTCGCGGTTCCGAGCGCCGTCGCCGAACTTTGGCTTGGACACGCCCTTCTCGCCGGTCTTTGGCCCGGTCTTGCTCCTTTCGTCAATCTTTCATTCTGATCGTACTCTTCTCTCCCTCCTTCTCCTCCGAGCTCTCCTCGTCGCTACCAGAGCCCATCGGCCCTTTGCCCTCCCGCTGCGGAATCCATGCGTCTAGCTTCGCCCGCACCGCCTCCATCATGGCCTCGATCCTTGTCGTGCGCGCCCCTTGGGCGGTGACCTCCGCCATCAGATTTGCGATATTCTCCGTATTGGTCGCGATCCCTGCCTGCATCTCATCGAATGCCGCCTCTAACGCCGAGCATCGTTCAGCTGCCGTGCCGGTACCCATTGCGAACATATCCCGAACGGATTCGGAACCAGGCTCTGATACCAATTGATGAACCGTAACCCACGATTCAAGGGTTTTGCTTGTAACTCACAAGCGAGAGAAAGACGTTGGTATCTATAAACCTTTGATTTATTTGATTGATACGGAACTAATGCCAAAGGTACATATTTATAGGCTTAGAAAGCCTAATACTTAACCTAATCCTACCCCAATTCGGCTACCCCTTCCCAAACACAAAAGAAAAACTTGACCCAAAAGCAAAAACACCCTAACCCAAACCCATACTACCCAAAACATGGAAAATACCCTCATCACACCTCTAATGCTGATGTCAACTATAACGATAAACAATTAAGATTGGAGAAATAAAAAAGAAACTAGCGCAAGTTTCTCCTCGAAAGGGGATCAAGCTTCTGTCAAATAAGAAAAACATGAAAAATGCAATGGCAGGCAGCCACGTCTTGGCCCGCAGAAGAAGAGTGGACCAATGGATTCTGAGAACTGTCAAAAGAGCAGTGATGGAACTGGCGAAATTTGTTAAGCATGAGCCGCCAATCACAGTCTTCAACTTGTCCTAGTCGCTCGCCATTGTGTAATCCCCACCACCAGGCACCAGCGCACCACCATCTGCCATAATTCATTTCCTGGTACTAATCCTCAGTAATGGTTACACTTCGATCATGAATCTTCCATTTCTTAACAAGACTTTCCATTCGTCAAACTTAACAAGAGCAATTACGATTTCTTACATTTGTTATTCTAACAAGTCATCGTTGATACACATGGTTATGCTTGGATTGAGCATGGTCGAATACAAGATTTCTTAATTAAAACTGCTAAAATGTGCGTTATTAGAACGTGGATTATACTACTGCATGTGTAGTTTAAGAAGAAAGGTCATTAACTAATGTTGTTGCTTCATCTTTCATCGCTATGATGGGTGTAGTATACTAGCAATGGCATCCAATTGCCAGTTAAAAGCTTCAATGATTTAGGACCTTTGACATGAAATAAGTTTCCATAGTTTCACCTAATTTAAGTACCTCATTCTATCCTCCATAACACTATGTTTGGGAAGGGGTGTAAATGGAAGGGGGTGCAAGTTTGGAGGGGTAAACACAAGTTCCAAGGTGTTTACCCCTGTTTGGTTATTTTGTAACAGTAGGGGGGTGCAAAACGTGAGCGTAAATTCACTGTTTCGGCTTACCCCCCAAATTGGGGTGCAAGGGAAGGAAGGAAGGGAGGGGGAAGGGGGAGGAGGGGAATTATGAATTTTTAATTAGAATATAATTACATAATAATTAATATTATTAATTTTTCTTATATCTATATTAGTGTAGAAGTTGTTTGGGGTTGACCGTTTGACTCAGAGAGCAAGTTTGTCAATGTTCGCCTCGTCAAATCGATATCTCTTAGTTGACCCGAATTTGCATTGAAAATTAGAGATAAGAAGCATTTGTTGAAAAGATAGAGAGAAACAGTTTAGTTAACTCGATTTACTTTAATAAGTAGTTAAAACTTACAGATTCGAACGTGTTTGACTAAGTTTGACCATATTCAATTTAAAGTTAGGCACGAGAACCCCCTTAGGATGACCAGTTACGAGTTGGATTTCGAGTTTCGAGGTTGCTCGACCAATGATTATTATTGTTGTTATAAATAATTATATTTGAGCATTATTATATAATAATTATTTTTATTAAAATTATTTTTATTATTATATATTGAATTTTCATGTTTGTGATAATATTTTATAAATTGATAAATCTATTTTATAATAATATAATTACTTACTTTTTACTCTATTTGCACCCCCCTACTTTTTCATCCAAACAACAATTTACCCCTCCACTTACACCCTCCACCAAGTTGCACCCCCCAACAATTTACCCCTCAACTTGTACCCCCCTCGAACTTGCACCCCCCTTGTTGCCAAACATAGTGTAAAAGTTTCCTTGTTTATTTTGGCTACCATTTCTAGTTAATTACTCTAAAAAAAAAAAAGAAATGACATATATTGGTCAAAATGAAAATAAATTATCTAGTTATTAATTATTAAAAATAATATCTCTTTCATTCACCAAATGTTGTGTTACAACTTACAAGTGCAATACCCCATGTCTTAAGGGTGATGTGACTGTTATTGTAGTGATACAATGTGTCTGATCATACTAGTGAGAATCGTATCACCTCTGGTAAATAGGGGTTTATGTCGGATTATGTAGATCAAAATTATGCACCTAATCCACTATCGTGTTACAAGCATCATTTGTATAAGATACAATGAGATAATATTGACATTTTGGATAGAGTTATTACTTAGATGCATTGACCCTAGTAGGGTTGCTAATGAACTGAGCCACTCGCATCCAACTCTAGAAAAATTCACTCCACTTGTTGTCTACTGATTCGAGAGCCAACTTAAGCTACAATTTGTTCAGTTTGCTAGGCTCTTGAGTTGTCTGGTGGTTTTAGTTAAGGTGTTCTGGTGTTAGGATCTAAGGTTTTGGTATTTAGATGTTAGGGATTAATATTTATGGTTTCATTTAGGGTTTAAGTCTTATGTTATTTCATTCTAACCTAACAAAATATAAGGATTTAGTCTTCATATTGGTGTCATGAATTTAGGGTTTAGGTGCAATGTATTCGATGTCAGTGTTTCCATTTTCAAAATTTCGGTGTTACGTGCTTACATTTTAGGCTCTAGTTATTACTTATTTAGGTGTCAGGACTTATGCTTTGTGGTATTATTCAAGATTTTTTAGATCTTATATTTACATTCACATGGTATTACAAATGTAAAGTTATATATTAAACTCGTATTATGCTCGTAGTGGTATTGGTAAGCAATCTGGTAAAGTTTTTAAGTTTTAAAACAATGTGAAAACTATGGGAAAATCTCCTTTAGGAAGGGTCTGGCAGCTGGCATAGACTGTCAAGATGCAATTTTGATTCAATGCTTTGGATCCATGCGTGGAAGATAATAAACCTCCCGAAGAATGGAAGAGAAAGGCAGCGATGAGAGATCACTAGCTCAACATTGTGTCTCCACTACTTACAGTAATCTTAGAGCATAGCAAGTTTGCAAAAAGCAACCATGACAAGAACATAAAACAAGTTTTTTTTAACCAAACGATCCGAGTTTTCTTGAAAGTTGAAACAAAATATCACATCCTCTGTATAAGGGAAAGTCTCAATATTAGCTGCATACAAACCTGAATTTGACTCCAAAGCAGGTCAACTTATCCGAAATTATCCAACAAGTTGAATCCATATTATCATAATAAAAGTCATATGACTCTTTCCCCAAGCATTCACTGTGATCAGAGAAATGGTCGGCTCATAGCATGAACTAAAAAATGTTAAAAAACACACTTAGCGTTAATCATCATAAGCTCCTTCCCACCACCCTACTTCACCATATATGTTATCTTTAGTAACTTCTTCTATTTTTTATACAACTTAGATGCGGTATATAAAATAATTTTATTAAACTCACTCACCAAACTAATCTCGAACTACAATCTTAAAAAAAAAAACTTAGCTCGATCATTACGCTCGCTAAATCTAATAATATCATTTTACAATGTAATAGAAAATGACAAATCTGACTTTACTAATTTACTTTGCTCGTGAATCAAACCCTAATAGGTGTTGGTGTGCCGTGCCCATACACATATCGGGTGAACACTTTTCATTGTAGTAGTAGGTCATGAGAAATTGACCGAACTCTTATTAAGTTAAAGTTCAGGGCTCAATTAGAATCGATGTAAAGTTGAAGGGACTTACTGTCAAATTTACTTCCTCCGTTTCAACTTTCACCCAATCGTCTCTTTCCACCTCTCTCTCTCTGGCGCTCATCTCGGCCCCGGCCAGTCGTCATTCTCGTATCTCGAATCTCCAAACGCTCTCCTTCAGAGTCCAGAGCAGTGTTATTAAAGCCTAGCCGAGCCGCTCGGCCTAACCGGTAAAACCGCCACCCGGTCATAAAACCGGCTCGAAACAGTGCCACTCCGGTTTAGGTAGCGGTTGGCGAGTGGCCGAGGCGGTTAACCGTTCAAGCCGATTGAGCCGCTGGTCCGGTTTTTACCATGCAGCCACTAAATTTAATAAAAAATATTGCAGAAAATTGAAAATTGAAATAAACAAAAAACGTAGGGCTCTCAAACTGAATCCTTATTTCCATTTCACAATTGCGAAGGAAAGAGATGAGCTCTGATTAATAAATGTCTGCTATTTATACTGATAACGTTTATTAGGTACCGGTTCTCTAACGGTTTTTAAACGGTCTAATGCCGGTTGGACCACTAAAATGCTAGCCGTTCGCATTACCGGGTCATGCTCCGGTTCGGTTATAACAACATTGGTCCAGAGTAATATAAATACCTGCTCAGGGAAAAAAAAAATTATATTCGTGGAAGAAAAAAGTAAATAACAGGAGAAGAACAAAAAGGGGGGAAAGGGGAAAACCAAAACAGAAATGCGGCCATCTCCGTCCTTCCTCACAGAGCCGAACATGGAAAGAACTCTCCGACTCTCTCTTTCTCTCTCCCTTCTCTATGCGCTGTAATTCATCTGAAATCCCAAAGCGTAAGAGAGAGGAAGAAGAACCCCTGAAACCCTAGGCCTCTTGTTTCCTCCATCCTTGCTGTTAAAGCATCGAATCTCCGTGATTCTTTCTCATTGCCGGCAAACTTGTTCCTTCTGTACCGAGCGATTTTGATCCAGAGTAAGGGGTGGAAATAGAAACCCTAGCGGTGAGGGCAGTTAGATTTCCTTTTTCTTGGTTTGGTTTGGTTTGGTTTAAGAGAGGCAAGGTTTAGGACAGAGGGGTTGGATTGGCGTCTTGATGAAGAAAGCCCGTCAAAGGCAGAGGGTTTTCATCCTCTGTTTGCTCTCTGTCACTGTGCTCGCTCCAATTGTTTTCCTCTCCAATGGAGCCAGTTTCCTCGCTTCTTTCGGTAAGCCCTCTTTTCAGTATGATCAATTCTTTTGGCGACTCTGGTTGCTGCTTGCACGCTGAGTCGGGAATGGCGTATTTTCTGCTGGAAGGTCATTGCTTGGCTTCTTGATGGGAATCCAAGTGATCGCTTGATTGCAGTGGGTCTCCGTAGGAGAGAAATACGGAATTTGGATTGCAACGGCGATGAATTCTATGTCCTCTAAAACTAATGGTCTCTGCAGTTGCTTGATAATATAGCTACAGTTCTTGTGATTGATTGAATCTTCTATTTCCTCGTATTGTTGTTTTTTCAGGAAGGAGAGGGTTGGCTCATGATATTTCAACCCTGGTAGGACTTTCTTTCCCCCACTGTTTTATTCTTCTTATTACCTCCCGAAACTGAAGGATATAAAGAGTAGAAATGCAGCTTTTTTTAGCCATTCCTGAATTTGGTTGGTTATTGTGGAGATCCTGATTTTACTGCAAACCAGGTGTCTTCGTTTTACTCTTTGAACTTGAAAGAAAGCTTTTTTCTCATGGCTTTAAGATTACTGAAATCCTAGATCAACCATAATAAAGTTGGTGTTACTATTGATAGACGGAATGTGGGGATGATAATTTATTTCTGATTCTGGCCCTCCCTTCTCTCTTTTTTGGCTCAGAAATACAGGGCTGAGTCATCACAGCTTCACGCAATTGAGGTACAGATAATTCATGATTTTGTGTGGTTTTCATATTCCTGCCTTTATAATGACACTAACTGCCTTTGCCTTCCAAATCTGGTGCCTCATGATGTAGGAAGCAGATGGAAGCTTGGTAGAACCAAAACCGATTGTTTACCGAGAGAAGGATTTGGGGTCTCTTATTAGCTTAGGTACTAGTAATGTCGATAGTGATTCTACTCAGCACAGAAGTACGGATGACACGACTGATTCTAAGAAACCTGAAAATACTGGACACAAGACTATTCTTTTAGGCAGCAACGGTCAGCAGTGCATTCTTTGGCTTTTTAACTCTCCCTTACACTGTTAGTGGATTAAGTGTCTAATTGCAGCCAGGGTTTTCAGGAACCAATGACGAAAGAAGGAAAGAAAACCGGTCTAACTCTAAAGTACCATCACGGTCAGATACAGTGGTATGTATATCATTCCAAAGCAGCTTCTAAGTGAACTTAGTTTCTTCCAACATTTTTTATGAGCATGGAACTATAAACGTGCGGCAATGAATCTGCTTCAAGTGTCTGGTATGTAAGAGGTTGAACATTAAACCTGTCTACGAGGGTTTTGAATTCTCCCTTAGTGCTCTGTTGTATGTGACTGTAGACATGTGATAGAGCACAGAGTGTGAAACTTCTGGTAGCTTGCTTGTCAAAACTAAGTTCTGGCTGACCAGGAAATGGCAGTCTGCTTTATCTTTATTTATGAAGTTGCAGTAGGTAGTATTAACCAAGGGCAATCAACGGAAATCAATCAATCATGAACAATCATAATCCATCATCAAGTGTTTCAGACCTTTCTAAACACTAAGGCTACCTTTTCCTGTTCCCTCTTGCTTATTAGGTTCTCTTAAACCACATGCTGACCTACTTATATAACATTATTGTTAAGTCTGTCTACTGATTGTTGATTTAATGTACTTTGTCACATGTTGGAAACTCTTTTCTTTGTATACTGTGAATTTTGGTGTGTCCTAAGATGGATTTATGATGAGCAAAGGCAGCTGCTCAACTTATGTTAGTTTTCACTGTTTATCAGGGAAGTTCGAGAGATCAAAGCATAAGACGTACTTCTCAGAAACAAATAGATCGTAGGGTAAAGGAGATACAAGACAAGATCATTCAAGCTAAAACATACTTGACTCTAACACCACCTGGAAGCAACTCCCACCTAGTAAAAGAGTTGAGGCAGCGGATAAAAGAATTAGAACGGTATGCAAGTGAAGGTGCTAAGGACACAGATCTTCCTAGGAGGTATACTCACTTTTTCCTCACCAGATACTTGTATTAACTGCATAAGTTGTGTCAAACTCAAATTACTTCTTGACTAGTAAGAATGAGGCATTCAATGTCCTTGCCGTAATGTTTTTTCAAGCGAAGATTTGTGTTTGGAGTTAATATGGGGAAAAAGAAGTTGATACTAAGATCCTGACAACTTTTTTAAATAATTCCAGTGCACTACAGAAAACGAAGGCCATGGAATTCACCTTGTTCAAAGCCAACCGAGTTTACAAAGACTGTACGGCCATTGCTAAGAAGCTCCGTGCTATGACTTACAATGCGGAGGAACAGGTTCGGGCGCATAAAAATGAAGCAACATATCTTCTAGGGCTTGCAGCAAGGACTACACCGAAAGGCTATCACTGTCTTTCCCTACGGCTCACTGCTGAATACTTTGCCCTGTCGCCAGATGAAAGACAGTTCCCTAATCAACAAAAAGTACATGATCCCAATCTCCACCACTACGCCGTTTTCTCGGACAACATTCTTGCTTCTGCAGTGGTTGTGAATTCGACAGTCTCTTCTGCCCAGGTAAAGTACAACTGCATGCTTTCATGCTACCTTGCAAACTTGTTCATTAGCTATCTCCAGGTGGGTAGGTGATAAATCTGATCCCGTACTATGTATTAACGATTTACATATTCTTCAGAGTTCCATTTTATTTAAACTGATTGCTTATAACTGCAAAGTTCATGACTGGTTTGTGGGTTATGCGAAAGGAACTTAATATGTACTGTGTAATATTGTTCAACTCCTGACAGGATACAGGAAAAGTCGTTTTTCACGTGGTGACTAATGCTCTGAACCTCCCAGCGATCTCGATGTGGTTCTTGTTATACCCACCTGGGAAGGCTACAATACATGTCCAGAGCGTCGACAACTTTGAGGCATTGTCAGCAAACTACGACACGATACTGAAGAAGCAGAACTCGACAGACCCGAGATACACATCCGAGCTGAACCACCTTCGTTTCTATCTACCGGACGTGTTCCCTGAGTTGAGTAAGATTGTGCTGCTGGACCACGATGTGGTGGTGAGAAGGGATCTAGCAGGGCTTTGGGGTGTGGATTTGAAGGGGAAAGTCAACGCAGCTGTTGAAACCTGCCACGAGAGTGACCCTTCTTTCCGGCGAATGGATATGCTAATCAATTTCTCAGATCCGAACGTTGCCAGGAGATTGGATGCCGGTGCATGCACGTGGGCGTTTGGGATGAATCTGTTTGACCTCAGAGAGTGGAGGAGACGAGATTTAACTGCCCTCTACCACAAATACTTGCGAATGGTATGGAAGTTGGTGCTTCTTATCTCCCTCCAATCACCTTCTGACTGCATATTAATAATGATATAAATGGTTTTCACCAGATGTCAACGGTTATTAATGAAAGTTAGCGTGGAGTAACTTGCGGTTTTAGTGTTTGACCAAGGAAAGGAACAGTGCATGCTGTCAATGGTTATTAATGGATGTTTGTTCTGTGTGTTGTATTTGCAGGGGAGCAAAAGAGGGTTGTGGAAAAGTGGGAGCCTGGGACTCGGGTGGGCAACATTCTACAACCGGACGGTGGGATTGGATAAGAAATGGCAGAGACTAGGGCTAGGGTACGAGTCCGGCGTCGGGGCTGGCGACGGGATAGAGGAAGCAGCGGTGTTGCATTACGATGGAGTGAGGAAGCCATGGTTGGATATTGGGATCCCAAAGTACAAGAGTTACTGGACTGCTTACCTCAACTATGACAATCCACATTTTCAGCAGTGCAATATCCATCCGTAGGCTTCGCTTGACTGACTGACGAGGTATATGGATGGCGAGATGACATTACAGCACCTGCCGACGCGATGATGACAACGAGAGGGTAATTCTTTAGTTTCATATACGAACAGTGAGGAAACATTGGAATGGTTCTTACCTTAGATTCTTTCATGAGTTAGAATTGTGATAGCATAAGATAGGAGGTGACATGACACAAGTATTATAGCAAGCAACACTATACGGAAATTTCAATAATAGAGAGAATTGTTTCTTTTCTTGGTGCATGAAATGGGATTGGTTTTGTAGTTTGTACTTGTACATAATTCATGGATGAGTTGGAGTTCATTCCTATTGGGCTGAAGATTCTTGGGCCTCATAATCATGGCTGAATTCAACCAACAGGCCCTTTTGCTGAGAAGGCCGGGGTGATGGCCTTGTTGGTGTTGGGCAACCTGACCTCAATCACAGTTCAGGTGAGAGATGGATGACGAAACACGTGGAGAGATATGGTTGGCCTAGTAAGATTACGGATGTGAAACGGGCGGCTGCCTATCTATCCAACAATCCATATTCTGTGGCTCCCTTGAGTTTTAGGAGGGACCCACACCAGTATTAAGCTGTGCAAATTCATCACATCCTCCATTTTACCTCTGCAAAGCTCACTATTTCCAGTAGTTTCTCACAGAACCAGCTACAGCCCTAATCCCTTCCTTCCTTCCAAGGATCAGAGTGTGAAAGATGGCGTCCATCTCCGCCACAACCACAGCTTCTTCCTTCATCCATGCATCTCTCCGTCCCAACTCCTCTCTAGGGGTTTCATCCGCCCCAGTTCTAGGTGAGTACTCTTGACGCCCACCTCCCCTGAAATTCACATTTACCTCTGGTTTTTATCAATTCGGCTTGGGGGAAACCTAGAAATTTAATCTATTGGGTGATGTGCAGGGCTGCCGTCGATGGCGAAGAGAGGGAGAATGGTGAAGTGCTCGGCGGAAGGAAACGGCAGCGGGTGGGAGAAGAAGGGGATGATGAGCGCTTCGCTGATGGCGGCGGTGGCCGCAGCAGCTGCGTCGAGCCCAGCGGCGATGGCTCTGGTGGACGAGAGGATGAGCACTGAAGGAACTGGGCTGCCCTTTGGGCTGAGCAACAACCTCCTCGGGTGGATCCTATTGGGAGTCTTCGGGCTCATCTGGACCCTCTACACCGTCTACACCTCCGGTCTAGACGAGGACGAAGAGTCCGGCTTGTCCCTCTAAATAAATCCGACCCGATTATCCTGCCTTTCCCTTTTATTGTAAAGAGTCCGTGTCTGGAATCTGGATTATGTGCTACCTCGAACAAAGATGATGATGATGATCTTATTGTTTCGTTGCTTCTGTCTAATGGATGGTTAATCGTTACCATTTGCTTTGATGGGATTTCAAATCTCTCTTTCCATTCATATCATTCTAGATAAACAGTGATACCAAAGAACGTAATTTATCATTAATTAAGTTTCTCTAATAACAATTACAAAGCAATAAGTTCGGCTAATTACAGATGCAGGAAGAAAGATTACATATGTCTCTGTAACGATTCTTCCTCCCGCTAGAATAATACAATCAAGCTTTCTTTCTTGAAGCCTATCTTTGATGACTACTAAGTACTAACAGCACGGAACGATGAAATCCCTCCGCATAAGAATCACCGGCGGTTGATAAACAACAAACCTTCTCGCCCTCACCGGCAGCCGACCCGCGCAATTGCCGTCGCAGCAAATCGCCGGGTGATAACCTCGATACCTAGAAAACAATTGCTCCGGTACCAAACGGGATCCACAACTCCGGCACCGGCAGCTGCAGCTCAATCGGTGGTCGCACCGAAACAACGGCTGCTCGGGGAAGCTACATCCCGCACACCGGCAGTTGTCGCCGTGTTCTACAACTACTCCTCCGACGTTGCCGGAGATTTTCTCCGGCACCGGGCAAACCCTGCAATTAATTCCCCAGAGAAAGCCCTTGTGGCTCTCTTGATCCACCGACAACTTCTTCTTCCAGAACCTTCTCTTCATCTTGGTGAAGAAGAGATTGGTCAGCAAGCTGTTCGATCCCGCCTGATGTGCTTTCCCTCTCCGACGAACACCCAATTCCTTTGCCAGCTCTTCTCTTCGAAACGCAGTCGTATTAGCCAGACCCGGACTATGACCCGCCAGGCACTTCACATCCACAACCGCCCCGAACACCCGGCCCACGACCCGGAAAAACTCCTTCCCCGTCTGCGGCAGTTGGCCGTCCTTTGTAACCAGCTTCACCAAGTAGGCCACGTCGTAAAGGCCTTTGTAAGTGATCCACTCGATCTGCTGCTGCTGCTGCTTGGCCCGGCCCAATAGCCCGGTGAAGAGGCCCGCGAACTGACGCGGGTCGATTCCTTCCGATTCCAGTCTCTCCCACTCGATGTCGCCGCGATCGGTCCCGAAATCGATGATTGCGCTTGTGTGTTCTTCTTCCTTGGTGGCAACCGCCGCTTCCCAAACGCTGTACCGGAGGTTGAACTGCCAAGTTCCTCCGATGTTGCCTTCGCCGTCGGCCGCCGTGATACCCAACTGTAGCATCTGGGTTCTGTTGACGAGGTAACTGACGAGGTAGAGGCAGGCTTGTTGAGGAAGGGAGGTTGGTTTGATGGCGTCTTTGTTGAAGTGAGGATGCTGAACGTCGATGGAGAGAATTGGAAATAGGTGGATGGCGGTTTCCAAATCGGCGAGCTCCGAGACGAGATTGTGCCTCCATACTTGCCTAAACGCGAACACCATGATGATGGGCGACGATGGTTTCCGAGAGAATGAATCGGTAGTTACACAGTGAGTGAAAATTTGGAAAGGCGGATGATTTTTATAGGGAGGTGTGAGTATGGCTTTTCCGTTTCCGACTTGGAAAACATGTGAAAAGAAATCGAATTCGAAAAGGAAAAGGAAAGGGGAAAATAAGAGACAACTCCCTGAAGTTTGAACCTTCGATTTGTAGATACAGCGAACTTACATTTAGTGCACATTTAATCCTTGCTCTGGTGACGCGGGTGAGATTCTTCTAGTGGGCTTATTTCTTTTTATTTTTCGGCAAATGCCCAGTTTTGCATAACCGTTTCTGACAACTGGTATGGTTATTGAAATTTGAATCAACAATTGGTCAATACTACGGTGTCGCTGTAAAAAGTGCGATATTGGTGGTGCACTTTCTGATGTGGCAGAGAGCTGGATAAACTCGTTGATCAAGTGACTGCCCAAACCGCAGCTAGTATAAAGATTCCGTCTTCAGTCTTCACAGCCGTTTGGCTATGTGTTATTTTTTCGTCAATTAATTGGAAACATATTTAACTTAACTGTATTTATTTTTCTACTGTAACAAAAAAGCGAAGGAACAAGAAAAAGCTAGAGTCTTCATCTTCGACCGCTCGCTCCTCGCTCCGTCTAACTATGAACAGAAAAAGCTTCTCCTGCGAACTCCGCAGTCATCGATCCGAATTCCCCTCTATATGACACGACTCCACTTAATTCCTGCATCATATTCCTCCTCTTACACTCATTTTGTACAAAAAAATTTGATGATTCCCTAGTTTCGAGAGACCCTCTGTCTCCATCGAAGTGCTCTGCCGACACAGACGATCTAAATCGCCCTCCTTGCGTCATCCCTCGCTCTGAACCATTCATGTTGAATCTTCGAAACCTTAACATCCATGCAAGGGAAATCAGACCGGAGGAAGTCCATGAACACCTCTAAAACCAAGCAGTCGTCTCGTTGGTGGTTGTTCTGAACAATTAATTAAGCATGGATGACATGACAGCTAAAGTATGGTTATTGTTCCTCAAGACCGTTTAATTAATGTGCTTGCCGAAGAAAGGAATACCAATTATGGTTGTGATTTATACAATTATATTGCCAGAAGGACTCGAACAATGAACGACAATCCTCATCGCACTTAAGTCTAGTGAATGAAGCCCGTTTCGGTGAAGGCAAGTGCAAGTATGTGTTAATTTCGTTTTCTTATTAGGGAATCGAGCAGCAACAAGTAAGTGTTAATTCCCCTGCTGCTCAAGTTTCTAATTGATTTCCTTATATTCTATCCAACCACAATCACAGTTTCTTATTCGGGAATCAACCCAAGAAGGCAAACCCCTCCATAAACTAATGGACATACATCGATTTCCTCCTGCTGCTGCTCGATCCCAGGAGGACAAATGAACAACAAAACACGAGCCTCCCAATCCCTGAAACACAATTCAAAGCAAAAAAAAGGACATGAATGAATCTCCTAAGATCAATTGAATTACCTGGAAGCCTTTGCATTGGTGGAGAAACTTGTCGAACACCTATAGCTTTGTTTTAACAATTCCAATAGGGACGGTTGCAAAACGAAGCGTACGAGCTGAGTGAGTCGAATCTCTTCTGACTTGTGATAGTCGGGTAATATGACGGTGATGCTATTCCACAGAAAAGTTGACGACGACGGACAAGTCGTCGGGGTGATTTTGTTGTGGGCGCCGGCGAGGGAGATCGATGAAGCTTCTGGTTCGTTTGGTGCAGATCACCGTATTCTGTTTTCTGATTTTGCCACGAAAATGCAGTTACGTGATTTTTAATTTAATTAATTAAACAGAAAAATAAAAACAAAGCATCCAACGGGAAATCCCTTTTCCGTTACATTTTGATAGGCTGTTCATGCCATTTCTAACTGTCATTTGGATTTGGTTGAAATTAAGTAAACAGACCAATGCCACGTCATAGTCGCGTGTACCAATGAAAAACTGCGCTACCGGTGTCGCACTCTTTACAGCGGCACCGTAGTATTGGCCATTTCAATTAACTTAAAATGCCACTCTACACACAAAGTTAAATTGGCTTAACTTTCTCACATGAAAATTTATATTTTAAAATATGGTTGTTGGCTCAAGATTGGAATTTAGAGTGAGGTGAATCTTCTCACTCCTACATTACCACTAGACCAATTTTAAAATATTTATATATTTTATTACTGAGTATTTTCACATTTGTCGTTAACTTATAGAATGAAAAATGTAATATTATGAACATGATTAAGTTGTTTATGTACAACTATTAAACCATCTCCAAATCAAACCCAAAAATGCTAAAAACAATGGATAAAATATCTTTCGATCCAAGTCCAAAATACCTAAAAATCCAAATGGTGGCAAAATTGGCACCAAACTTGACCCACAACCCGCCAAAAACGTGGCCAAACCATTTGTCCCCCATCAACAGTTTAAAGCGATGCGCCGGAGGGACGAAGCCAATGTCGTCCGCACGTGTAGCTCACTTACCCCCCCCCCCCCCCCCCCCCCCCCCCCCCCCCCCCCCCCCCCCCCCGGGTCAAGTGTCGCTGCAAAAGAGATTTTTGGAATAATAATAATTGCTGTGATAGCCCCACAAACTTTTCCAACAGCTCCTTCAGCCCCTAATTAACCAATGCCTCCTTCATCACCAAGCCCCCCAACAGCTAGTTTTTTTTCAATTATATCTATGAAAACACAACATTTTTAACTTATTCTTCACCATTGCCTTCTCATCTTAAAAAGATAATCTTTTTCAAACATAACACATTTTCTCTTCCCAAACACTTCATCATGTCTCATTCCAATCGCACTTCGAATTTTATGGAGCCCGAAGATGAAGTTCTATGCAAGACATGGATTGAAATTTCTGAGGATGGTTTGGTCGGTCAATATCAATGCATGGCTGAATTTTGGATGCGAGTTGGAGTCAAATTTGCTTCAAAGGGATGGGGGATTGTACGTAATGATTGGGGCTTGATTTCTCGATGGAAGATCATTCTCCATCAATGTGGGGGGTAGAATGCGATATCGAGAAGAGCAAGCACAACACTAATGAGCGGCGAGAATCTAAGTGATGAGGTTAGTCTCCATCTTATTTTTATTATCATGATTTATTTTCTTAATTAATTATTTAGTTTACTTGTTGAAAAAATTGAATTCTTTTGTGTAGCTTGAACGAACAAAATTTTTTTCTTAACGGATCCCGAAAAATATTTCAAGTAGAAGCATTGTTGGGATATAGTCCAACATTCTCTCAAAGTTTATACAACAAATTATTATCCCTGTATCACTCATCTTACCAATAGATGGATCTTTATCGGTAATGCCATCCGACGAAAGTGATAGCCCCGACATTCAAGCAAGTGAGACTTCTTGAACAATACTTCTAGAAGATTAGGGCTTGAGCGGCAGTTGGGATCGTCATCCTTTTTCTTCGTAGGTTGGGCTCCTTGGATTATGGATGACCTCTCCTTATGATTTGGATGTGTCTGTCTTGACCAAGTCTTCTATAGTGGCGGTTGGACCCGATGTTGGGCCATCGTCAGTTTCTTCTTTAGTTTGGGCCAAGTCTTCCTTTATTGGGCTCGTCTTGGGCTTATGTTACGACTTCTAGTTGACTTCTCCGTCATTAGGCCTCATCTTTATCACGAAAGCTCAATATTCTTCTCTTTATAGCTCCTTTGGTCTTCCAGAGTTCTTCAATGCTTGATCAAGACTTCCTTAGGCTTATTAGTACCTTCAAAACCATAATAAACATATTAAGAAGGCATCAGTGAGTACAAAAACATAACCTATGTCTATTTAGAGCTCATTGATCAAATAGTTGTGATTTAGATCATAAATACTAGAGAAAGGACTAAAGATGCTTTGATATAAGGGGAAAATGTATCAAGAATGAGAGTGACAAACACTATAAATAAAGTGTCATCAAGAGTTGATATGCTGGAGGGCACCGTCGCAAAGATGGGTTGGACTAAACATGGATGAATCGAAAATGGAGTTGGTGCAAGGGAGCTCCTCAGGGATGGCGTCTTAAGAACTGTTGAAGAGAGATTAATAAGGGTGCTCGCGATGAATGTAGGGGAGGTTCTATTGCCCATGCGGAGTTGGCGGGGCCATGTATAGCTTGGGAAGCGGGTTAATGAAAGTTGAATTGCAAACTAATTGTAGTACAACAATTCAGCTCCTCTAGACAAGCAACGTCATCATCTCTTATGTTTTCCGAGAAGGCGGCATATTTGCGGATTACTTGGCATCCATTGGACATAGTTTACCCCTTGGGTTTCATGTCATAGAGGACTCCTAAACTTATTCTAGGAAGTCCTCATCTCTCATATTTTTTGTAAAGGCAGCGTATTTGCAGATTACTTGACATCCTTTGGCCATAATTTACACCTTGGGGTTTATTTCATTAAGCCACCATGTTATACGCTCAATTATTGGTTGTATTTCAATCTTGTCGGGGGTTCAAACTCCGTGTATGTACTATGGTTAACGGTTAAATGTCGAAGTGCCCTTTTGTGGGAGGAGTTAGAGACCATGCTAACCACTCTTATCACCGTCCATTACTTTTAAGTTACATCTGACGGTTAGAAGTAGTGAAGGGCTTGTTTGGTATTTTGGAAAAATTAAGTTTAATAAATAAATTAAATTTTAATATTAATTTTCTCTCTCCATCTTCACAGAGAACTTTAACGTGCAAAAAATACTACTGAAAAATTACTACTAGTCAAATTAGTAGTTATTTGACTAAAGAGTTGTAGTGATTTTGTGATAGTCCGTAGTGATTTTATTGTTATTACTTATTAGTAGCATTTTTTAATCAGTAGAAGTTGATGATTTTTGAAAAACGCCACTATGAATGAAATAAAGTACTATAAAGAACAAATGTAACTACTAATATACAAAACACTACTAATACTTTACAAATGTCACTACTCAACTACTAATTACAATAAAAATTACTATGAATACATATGAAAATCAATACTCCAAAATTACTACTAACCCAAATAACAACTAATCACCTAATAATATAGATCTGGCAAAATTCTCGTTTTCCCTTTGCAGATGCTTCTGTGAGCGATTGACGACACTGGTGGTGGGAAGCCAACAGAGGCAAGACCAACAAAAGGGCGGCGTAGGCTCTTATCTCTCCATCGAACGACAACCTCTCCCCATATCTGGATTTGTCTCCTCTTCCGACATCATACGTTTACCCGCCTCCTCTTCGGCCGCAAGTGTTGCGGTTTAATCAAAGCGGCAACATTGGTGAAACGACTAGAGTTGAGAGCAGTGTATGGCGAAGTAGAGGCGCTTGCGAGTGACGACGACGCGGTTGCGTACGAGGCGGTTGCAAGTGATGGCAAGTCTGTTGCGGGCGAAGGCGATGGTGATGCCGACGCTGAGGCCGACACGACTAAGGTGGACGCAGGCATAGTCGAACGGGAAGGGGAATCGACGAAGATGAGTGTTTCTTTAGAGAGAGAAGAAGATGGGGCTGGATTTTTGTGAGGGAGAGAGAGACAATAGGAGAGGTGGGCGACCAACTGGGAAGGAATTGGTAGAAGAAAGCTATTTATATTAGGGTTTGATGGGGTAGTTACTAAATTGTCCTTTTAATTCTAGCCCCATTATTAATTTTTAATCTAATGGTTCTTATGCTAGTTAGCACGACTCAAGATACAGTGCATAACCATGTGTTATGCACCCATTAGTAACTAAATATGGACCCTTTATTCAAAAAATCCAGATCTAAGGGTGGAGCATTAAAGGTGTTTTTATTTTTCCATTGTTTTTTTAATCGGCTCATATCTTATTCGTTTTAACTTGGATTTCAATTTTTTTTTTTTGCACAGATGGAACGAGTTCGTTGTGCTCTACAAAATGAGATCCATTTTCAATATTTTTTGAGATTTTTTATTGTCTCTCGGTACCAACTACATACCATATGGTATCTTCTTCGTTTTAAATTTGTTTTTGAAAATTTTTGCACAGAATGGACGAGTTCATCATGATCTATTGGACCTATAAATTTCTAGGTGAACAAAATACATGACCAAAAAATACCACACAATACCACCCTGGTATGGGATGGTATATTGTGGTACACAATGTTAAAAGTCGTAAATAACAGTTAATATACTTCTACTATCATGTGTTCAATCATTCTACAGTCTTGGTTTGTTCATACCATAGGTATGCTCAATGCAGTCAAAATCGCGCTTTAAAATTTAAAAACTAACGGTTTTACGCTTCTAGAACACTAAAACACTTTCGTTTCCATATAAAATCTCAAGTGTATAAAATCGGGACTAAAATGCGCTTTAAATCTTAAAAGCTTACGCTTTTACGCTTCTGGTTCACGAGAACGCTTTACGCTTCTAGTTCACTAAAGGAGTATTCTATTCACGAAAATACTTATATTTTACAGGTAAATCACAAAAATATGATATATTTAAGATTAAAAGATACTTATCAAGTACTTGGATGCATTCTTAGTTTCAACAGAGTAATCTAATTCACCAATTAGGCGCTTCCCAAAATCACTAGCTTAGAGGGGAAGGTAGCTTATGGTTAAGATATATGTTTATGAACTTATTGTTAAAATGTTATGAGTTTAGACATGAATTACAGGTATTTATTAACTTATCTAAACTATGTGCACTCATATTTTACATAGTATATGTCGTACATAACACATTTTTCGTTATTTTATAGTATGCGTAAAAAACTTACGTTTTTACGATTTGATTCTACGGTTTACGATTTTACCCATTTTCTGCTTCTAGGTAGAATCGCGCTTTTGACTGCATTGGGTATGCTCTTATTTCAATACCAGTCAATACCATATGGTATAGACTGGTAAAAAATGGCTCAATTTTTTTAGTTTCAAAATATATCAAAGTGAATATCATTTTTAAGAGCACAATTAATCTGATCTAACAATGCAAAAAATTAAATTTCGACTTAAAACGAGTGAGAAATCGTCTGTTAAAGATTAGAGAGAAATTAAAGGCTTTTCAGGAGAGAGAAGGGGCACTAATGTGACGAATTCTAATTGGGTTATGCATAGTTATTGGCCACAAGATTATTGACTGGATCCGCCCTTTTGCGCTTTGTTTTGCTACTGTTGTTTAAAATTCTTTTAAAAGTAATGTACTCCATTGTAGATATATGATCTGGAACCCTTCTACTATGCTGTATAGTATTGGTGCTTTAATGTACAACTTGAAGTTGTACCATAACATTAAATGTATAAGTTTAGGTTGTACCATAAAAGAATTTGTATCATTATGTTATGGTACAACTTTACAACTTGAAGTTGTACCATCACATAAAGGTACAAATTCAAGTTGTACCACAAAAGAATTTGTACAAAAAGTATAGGTACAATCTGAAGCTGTACCATAACGTAAATGTACAATTTCAAGCTGTACCATAAAGACAAAAACCTATAGCACCAATACTATATAGCATTGTAAAATTCCTCATATGATCTGTGTTATTATGCAGATTGGGGTTAAAATATTATTGTTTATAAGGTACCAATTTATATCGATTAGAGACTAGAGTTCAAGTATGAGGCTATGGCCTATGAGCCACTCACTGAGTCACTGTTCTCCCTCCGATTCGGTTCTATTTACCATTAAACTAGGAGCTATGCCTATGCGGCCGGTTAATTTGAGGGTCCGGATAGTATAACAACACTCTTTTTGTTGTTATAATAACAATAGGATTCATTAAGGGTAAAAGGGTAAATCAACAATAAAAATAATAAATAAAAATTAACCCTAAGAATTTTCCCGTTTGCTCTGATAGGTCCCGTCTCCTTCACACTCGCCGCCGCCCAGAAAGAGCCAGCCGGGCGTCCTCTTCGTCTGCAACCACCGCACCGTCCTCGACCCGATCGTCACCGCCGTCGCGCTCGGCCGGAAGATCAGCTGCGTCACCTACAGCATCAGCAAGTTCACGGAGATCATATCGCCCATCAAGGCCGTGGCGCTGTCGAGGGAGCGTGATAGGGACGCGGCGGACATCATGCGCCTGCTCGAGGAAGGCGACCTGGTGATCTGCCCCGAGGGGACCACCTGCAGGGAGCCGTTCCTCCTGCGGTTCAGCGTGCTCTTCGCCGAGCTCACCGACCGGATCATCCCCGTGGCGGTGAACACCAAGCAGTCGGTGTTCTATGGAGAGAGGGATTGCTGATTGCGACGGTGCAAGGGGTGAGAGAGATAAATAATAATTCAATCGGCAACGTTCCGGTCGAGGTTGGACAAGAAGTAGAGCCCTGTTTTGGTCTCCTCCATCGGCGTGACCAGAATCGGATTGTTTTGGTGGACGGTGAGCTTGGAAACGATGCCATTTGGGTTCTCCATTGGAATGGGGAAATGATGGTTTGGAAGGGAGAGGGAAATGGAAATCAGGTTTGTTTCTTTGAGGCAGGAAGAAAACAAAGCAAAGCATAGCATGTGAGAGTAATAAATTAAAGCTTTTCCGACTGAAGATATTGGTGGGATTGGGTGAGAGTAGAGGCAACAGAGTACCATAAATTGAAAGAAACTAGTAACTGACTGGGTTCATTTTTTCCAACTTTTCCCCCTCTTTTGAGAGGTGTGGTTGATGAACGAAACAGTGTAGAGAGGTAACTACCATTAGCCACTTTTGGGATAATTACATTAGTTTATGAGAGAGATAAATAATAATTCAATATGCAATCAGGTAGTGGTGTAAGCCGAACAAGAATTGCACGTCTAATTTGTAAAAGTTAACTGTGATGATTTTTGTCAAAGAATTGTGAAAATATTGCTCTCGGTCTATGCTAACCTTGGTAAGCTTGAGGAGGCTCTAGACGTCTGTCTACAAGGAGATGCAAACTTTTGGATTTGGACGAGATGTTGTTACTTATAATGCACTCATAAACCTGGCATCCACAAACACGGTACAACAATCTACAAAAAGAGTACCAGACCCTCCCAATCCATACCACAAATCCCCTGAAACAAACCAAAAACCCCACAAAGCATACCACAAATATTCCGAAAGCACACCAGAAACCTCATAATGCAAACCACAAACACGGTAAAGCAAACCACAAACCTCCTAATGCAGACCAAAAATATATTAAAACAAACCAGAAACCCCACAAATCAAACCATAAAATTTTCGAAAGCACACCATAAACTTCTTAATGCAAACCAGAAACTTCTTAATTCAAACCAGAAACCTCCGAATGCATACCACAAATCTCCTAAAACAAACCACAAACCTCACAAAGCAAACCACAACATTTGCAATGCACACCAGAAACCTCCTAATGCAAACCACAAACACAGTAAATCAAACCACAAAAAAGCAAACAATAAACGTCCTAATGTAGACCACAGATATATTAAAACAAACCAGAAACCTCTCAATGCAAACCACAAAATTTTTTAAAGCAAACCAGAAACTTCTCAATACAAACCACAAACATTATAAAGCAGACCAGAAACTTCTCAATGCAAACCACAAACACGATAAAGCAAACCACAAAAGGCGTACAAAAATATGAGAAACCAAACCATAAATCTCACAATGCAGACCATAACATCCGGTGATCGTTGACCGTTGACCGGTCAATGAAGACCGTTGACCGAACTCCGGTGACCGTCAGTGACCGGATTCCGTTGCCGATAAGCATATTCCGGCCCCGGTGACTAGATTCCGACGCCGGTAAGCATATTCCGACACCGGTAAGCATATTCCGACTCCGGTAAGCATATTCCGGCCACAAAATAGTATATTCCGGCGACAAAAGGATATTCCGGTGACCGTCGACCATTTTCCGGCGACCGTTGGCAGAATTCCGGGGACCAAATTTTTGGGCAAAAATAAAAAAATATATTTTTTATTTTTTTTATTATTTAAACATATTTTTCATAATGACAATTATACCCCTGTTTTGATTTTACACTAGGTCAACTCAACTAATAAAAAGTCATCACATCCTAGCTTCCTATTGGTTGGGGACTAGTGTTGTTACAATAACAACACAATGGGTATTGTTACAATAACCGGTCCCGTCGATTTGGGACCGGTTATTGTAACAACACCCATTGTGTTGTTATTGTAACAACACTAGTCCCCAACCAATAGGAAGCTAGGGATGTGATGACTTTTTATTAGTTGAGTTGACCTAGTGTAAAATCAAAACAGGGGTATAATTGTCATTATGAAAAATATGTTTAAATAATAAAAAAATAAAAAAAATAAAGAATAAAAAAAATAAAAAAATAATTTTTATTTTCTGCCCAAAAATTTGGTCGCCGTAATTCTGCCACCGGTCGCCGGAAAGTGGTCGCCGGTCACCGGAATATGCTATTTGTCGCCGGAATATGCTTACCGGTGTCGGAATATGCTTACCGGCGTCGGAATCTAGTCATCGGGGCCGGAATATGCCTATCGGCGTCGGAATCTGCTCACTGACGGTCACCGGAGTTCGGTCAACGAACTTCGTTGACCGGTCAACGGTCTTCGTTGACCGGGTCAACGGTCAACGAAGACCGGATGTATGGTCTACATTGTGAGATTTATGGTTTGGTTTCTCATATTTTTGTATGCCTTTTGTGGTTTGCTTTATCGTGTTTGTGGTTTGCATTAAGAAGTTTCTGGTTTGCTTTATCGTGTTTCTGGTTTGCATTGAGAAGTTTCTGGTTTGCTTTCAAAAACTTTGTGGTTTGCATTGTGAGGTTTTTGGTTTGTTTTAATATATTTGTGGTTTGCATTAGGACGTTTATTGTTTGCTTTTTTGTGGTTTGATTTACTGTGTTTGTCGTTTGCATTAGGAGGTTTCCGGTGTGCTTTCGCAAATGTTATGGTTTGCTTTGTGAGGTTTGTGGTTTGTTTTAGGAGATTTGTGGTATGCATTAGGAGGTTTGTGGTTTGCATTATGAGGTTTTTGATGTGTTTTGGAAAGATTTGTGGTATGCATTAGGAGGTTTCTGGTTTGTTTTAATATATTTGTGGTCTGCATTAGGAGGTTTCTGGTGTGCTTTCGCAAATGTTGTGGTTTGCTTTGCGAGGTTTGTGGTTTGTTTTAGGAGATTTGTGGTATGCATTAGGAGGTTTCTGGTTTGCATTAAGAAGTTTCTGGTGTGCTTTCGAAACTTTTGTGGTTTGGTTTGCAGGGTTTCAGGTTTTTTTTAATATATTTGTGGTCTGCATTAGGACGTGTTTGGTTTGCTTTACCGTGTTTGTGGTTTGCATTAGAGGGTTCCTGGTGTGCTCGCAAAGCAACAACAATATAACAACAATATAAGATATTTGTTATTGGAACATATACAAAGATTTGTACGGCTGAAATGCATTAACCAAGAGACCGGCTTAAGCATCCAATTAGCAATCACACCAGAAAACCCAAATCCCAAAAATGACAAAGTAAGAAGTTTACAAACAATGAACACTAAGGGATGTTCCAACGCCCTTATGTTCTGGTTACCACCTCTGTTGCAGAGTGTTTTCAGGATATAAATTCTCCTTTACTCTGCGTCTTCGTTGGTTCTCAATCTCAAGTTGAGCAGCTTCCGTATTAGTTTCTTCTCTTCAGCCAGACATCCAAAGGGATCAACAAAGAGACTGCCCTTGCTCTGGCTTCCTTTTACATGCTAACTAACCGGAGCTTCTGTTTTCCCCTTCCAACCGCCATGAGAGAAGCAAATCCTCCCTGCAGCGACGTTGTCGGTGTTGAGCGTGTAGGTCAATGACGATGAGAGGCGCCGGCGTCACGAGATCTAAAACAGAGGAGGCCATCGACGAGAAGAAATTGCAGAGTCTATTTCCCGGCGCCGGCGAGGAAGAAGCGGGGCAGAGGAGTCGGAGAAGGAACGAGATTCGGTCGGAAAACTAATCAGCAGCCGCCGCTGCCATTATGACAGAGCTATGATGGAGAGATCGGCGGAGTTGCCAGACTGGCAGAGCAAAGTTTGGGGCGGGATGAGGGAAGAAACCCGATTTGATAAGTAGGGATGGGTAAATATATTTTAATTAACTTTTTTATTGGTTAGATATTATGTTAGTTTACTCTTTTACCCTTGTTGTCACTATAACAACAGTATTGGTGTTGTTATAGTATCCGAACCCACAATCGACAATCCCATCACGGCAGTCGGCAGATACGATACGCACTCTTCGGTCCTTCGCCTCTCATCTTTCCAACGTATAGCTATTCCTTTCTCTACTTTCCCCACAGGATCGAAACTCCTGTAGCCGGCGTTGCACAAAACCTGCAATCCCTGCTGAAAGCTTCAACCCTTCCAGCTTCCCCGACTCTCCTCCAATGGCCGCCACCTCTCTAACTGCTCCAAAGCTCACTTTCTCTCCTACCCTCCAGTCCCTCTACAGAAACCTCACCACCCCCATCCCTCTATCTTCTTCTTCTCCTTCTTTCCTCTTCCTCCGCAAAACCCTACCCTCCCACCACTCTCGCTCCTTCTCCCTCTTCCAACAACCCCGCCGTCAATTCACCGCTCGCGCCGACTCCGACAACGGCACCGAGTCGCCACGTCAGTACGATTTCGACCTCTTCACCATCGGCGCCGGGAGCGGCGGTGTGCGTGCCTCGCGCTTCGCCGCCAATTTCGGCGCCTCTGTTGCCATCTGCGAGCTTCCCTTTGCCACCATATCCTCTGACACTGCTGGGGGCGTCGGCGGCACGTAAGTAATCTCTTTTGCACAAAATGACATAAATTTAGGATAATAAATTATCATTTAGTTCCGCTAGGAATCTGCGGCGGGCGTCAGCTTGCCAGTGATTTAGTCAGGACAAGAGTTATTGTGTGAAATTGTTGCCAATGTGGTTCTGCGAGTAAAAGTGTCATCTCCTAATTCAGGTGTGTTCTTCGCGGATGCGTGCCGAAGAAATTGCTGGTGTATGCGTCTAAATACGCCCACGAGTTCGACGAGAGCAATGGGTTTGGGTGGAAATATGAGAGTGAACCCAAGCATGATTGGATCACTCTAATGGCTAACAAAAATGCAGAGCTGCAACGACTCACTGGTATCTACAAAAACATTCTAAAGAATGCTAATGTCTCACTGATTGAGGGCAGAGGAAAGGTAAGGTCATTCTATGGCTAGTTGGCTACTACTCATTGCCTTGACTACTAGCATCTATTCTACATGATGGTTTAGAGTGGTTTTCATGTCGTTTTGTTCATTTGTTGCTGTAGATTGTTGATCCGCACACAGTTAATGTGGACGGGAAGATCTATACAGCAAGGCACATATTGGTTTCGGTTGGAGGACGACCTTTCATTCCCGACATTCCAGGAAAGGAATATGCAATTGATTCAGATGCTGCACTTGATTTGCCATCTCAACCCAAGAAAATCGCAATCGTTGGTGGGGGATACATTGCATTGGAGTTTGCTGGCATCTTCAATAGTTTGAAAAGCGAGGTTCATGTATTTATCAGGCAGAAAAAAGTACTAAGAGGCTTTGATGAGGAGGTAGGGAACTGTTACGCTCGGTGATTTGATTGGTTGAGTTCTCGCAACTTTGTTACACCTCTCACCAAATCTGTTTGATTCGTAGGTTAGAGATTTTGTTTCAGAGCAAATGTCTCTAAGAGGAATTGAGTTTCACACAGAAGAGTCACCACAAGCTATTGTTAAATCTGGAGACGGTTCACTATCGTTGAAGACAAACAAAGGAACAGTGGAAGGCTTCTCGCATATAATGTTTGCTACAGGCCGTAAGCCCAATACAAAGGTTTGTGTGCTTACGTATATTAAAAACTCTGTTTTGATATGTTTTTTCCGCTGCAGTCTCACAACAATGATGGATTTTTCCTAACTTAGCTGTCCCTTGCATTTTCTGTTATCCCTGCCCGCCAGAAAGTTCAATTCTTTGTGCTTGTCTCATTCCTTCCCACTGGGTATTGGTAAAAATAGGGAGGTTTAGATTTTTTGGTGAGGAAAATATCAAACCTTTGTATACTATCAATATTTGGGTGATGACAACTTATTCTACATTGCAGAATTTGGGGCTAGAAAACGTAGGGGTCAAGATTGCCAAGAATGGGGCAATTGAGGTATGACATCTTGTGCATTTTACTTCCAGCTAGGGTCCTTCGCTATAGAAAATCTTTATCCAACTTTTGGTTTCTTAGCTTCTATTTTTTTCTGTCGTGTCCCAGGTGGATGAATACTCTCGCACTGCTGTCCCGTCCATTTGGGCAGTTGGCGATGTTACAGATAGGATAAATTTGACTCCAGTTGCTTTAATGGAAGGGATGGCACTGGCAAAAACACTGTTCAAGGATGAACCTTCAAAACCTGATTACCGGTAGCCAACTAGTTGGTTTGTCCAGCTCTTTGTACCCTAATGTTTGAATATGAACTGCTGCTTGTCATTATATTGCTATATAGGATGAGTGTCATATTTTTCTTTCATACTTGGACCTTATATGAATTGGGAACAGCTCATGTTGTATCTTCGTGATGTTGGGTATGGTTATTGTCGTTATGGGAACATATTAGAGCTGACTCATATTGTAATTCATAGCAGAAATGTAACTGGTTTTCTGTTTGGCTTTCTGAAGGGCTGTTCCCGCTGCTGTTTTCTGTCAGCCACCAATCGGAAATGTTGGTCTTACTGAAGAGCAGGTGATGAATACAACACTTGTTGCAATAATGAATGCTATACACCTTATCCTGTTCCCTTATCATATTCTCTTAGTAGTCTTTATTCATAAGTTCAATGTACATAAGCTATGTATTAGGGGAGTTATTGGGATGGTTTTCTTGACTGTGAGAGAGCTATTGTAGGCAATCAATGAGTACGGTGATGTCGACATCTACACATCAAATTTTAGGCCTTTAAAGGCTACTCTGTCAGGACTTCCAGATCGGGTCTTCATGAAATTATTAGTCTGTGCTAAGTCGGACAAAGTTATTGGCCTGCACATGTGTGGAGAAGATGCACCTGAAATTGTTCAGGTTTGTACTCTGGTCCTGACTACCCTTTCCTTTCCCTTCCCAATCATATATCAGTTTCATTAGTTCTGTTTGTTTCTCAAATTTGCAGGGATTTGCAGTTGCTATAAAAGCAGGGTTAACCAAAGCAGACTTTGATGCGACAGTTGGTATTCATCCAACAGCTGCTGAGGAGTTTGTCACCATGAGGACCCCAACCCGGAAGATTCGAGGCAACCCCAAGTCTGAGGTCTGTTCTTAGACTGTTTGTTTTGGTCTTGACTATTTGTTTAGGTATTGTTATGCCTAAACGTATTTAGTTCAACTTGTTGAAGCGTTACTATGTTTGATGGTTGATAAATTAAATAAACTAGCATTAATTTGTCATTTCCTCTCCTAGGTTCCAGAATCATGCATTCTTCTGTTGCTTGTTCTTGCTTCACTTTTCAATTGGCAGATTGCTTATTTATTTCTTAGTCATGACTTGGGAGGCTTCTTGTTTGCTTGCTATTCACGTACTCCACCAATCCAGTAATTATCAAAATTTCTTTTCGTTATTTTCAGGAGACGAAAGATCAAGAAACTAAAGCTGCGGCTGGAGTTTAGACTTGAATATTGTGGCTGGCATAGTTAGCATGACATCTTCCTCATGGTCCAAACAGAAGCTCTTGATTTCTGTACAGTACGATTACTAGTTCATTACTCCTACTTTCTGTTAATGTGTAAGCGGGATTTCGTCACACTGCACACAACAATGATGAGCCTTAAAAGCTTGCTTTCTGTTGAACCTGGTTCTGTTACTCTTATCGTTGGTTAGGTTTCTTCTCTAGTCTGGCTGATCGCAAAGACGCATAGAATAAGGCTTTCCTTTGTGTTTCTCGTTTGGATGCCATTTCCTGCAAATTGGTTCATCGTGTGTCCGAGAAGCAGGAAGAGTCACTATCTCTTTGACATGATCGGCTTGATGAGGTATAGTTGTTAATGCTCTACTAGAAGTTGATGCTCGGCTCATAAACATTGATTACGTTGCAGGGGTCACTGAAATGGGCACTTCTGCAAATGCATGACAAAGGAGAGTTTTTAAGCCGAGATTCAGCCGAGTTGGAAGTGTGTTAAGTCGTCTGTTTACGTCTTCTTGTGCATCGGGAGTCGGCTTCATTTTTGTTTAGATGCCAGAAAGAAAAACAAAGCTCAGAAACTCAGCACGGCCCTATTGTAAACAAACTGTTGAGCCTCTTCACCCCTTCCATGCTTATGTGCTGATAAAGATGAAAAGGCAGAGCTTAGGGTACTTTCATCAAGTTTGTTAGTATGGTGCTAGTACTAGTTTCAATCGGTGAGAATATTTTGTTTCGATGATTTATTTATTCAAGGAATTGGCAATAACTAATACTGATTTTCTAAGGAAGCGGTGTTCTTATCATTCTTAAAAATTAAGGGATCACGTGCATATGAAATTGGTTATTTATCTCGCCCCGTGTCTCACTTGAAGTAGCATCTGCATTGAAACCTAACTCGCCATAGAAAATTAGGAACAACGATCCGACCATCAAAGGTTGTATCCATTGAGACAAGACATAGAAGAAACGACGAAGGTTTGGTGCAAGACTGGAGTGAGGAGTCGTAGACAAAGGATTTGTGAGCAAGAATCCAAGGGAATACACTAGGAAATGTGAATAGCTATTTGAGATTTATGGAATCCCTAGGGAGCAGCAAGTGTGGTTGGGTGAGATTTACTTCGAATGAAGGCCAGATACTTGGTTTGAAGGCTGGAAACAAGCCGTGTGGAGTTAGTTTGGAAAGAGTTTGTGCTGGCTTTATGTATAAATTTAGTGACTGGTCTTTTGGAGGAATTGTTGGTGAGTTCAATAAGCTCAGGCAACGTGGTTCCTGGATGGGGTATCAAGAGAAGTTTGAGGAGCTTAAGTCCCAAATGGTTCGTAACAATCCTCCCCTCGTGAGGAGTACTTCATTTCTAGTCATGTTAGTGGTTTGGAAGAGGAATTAAGACCAGTCATAACCATGTGACAGCCACAGTCTTAAGCTCATGCTATCCAATTGTCTTAGTTGGAAGAAGTTTCCAATGAAGCGAAGGAAACTTATGGGATCTGTCCCTAAGGTAGCCAACATCAGGAGCTTCATCTTCCACTCCTCCTCGAAAGTGGGAGCCTGCAAAAGACACCATTTGTCAAGACATCTCCCCTGCTACTGGGAATAGGCCAAACATGACTAAAGGAACCTGTTACAAATGTGGAGATAGGTATTTCTAAGGACATGTATGTGATAATAAATGTCAGTTGAATGCTTTACAAGCTGATGATGATGAAGTAAAGGGTGATGTGATAGTGGCACCTACACCTTGGAGTGATGATGAAGGTGTGGTGTTTGAAGATTGTGTTGAAGGGCAGTCGGAGCTAGTGGAAGTGACCATGCAGGCTCTTAGTAGTGGAGCTTCGGCGAACTCACTGATAATCAAGGAAAAAGTGAAGAAAGCATTTCTCATGGTCCTTATTGACACAAGAAGCACACACCATTTTTTAATGAGCACAAGGCTAAGGAACCGGGTTGTGAGTTGCAGGGTGCTACTCCTTTGAGAGTGAAGCTAACTGATGGTACCATTCGTATGAGTAACTAGTGTGTAAAGGGTTTGAGTGGGGTATGCAGCAGCACAGGTTTCAATATGATGTGAGAATTTTGCAATTAGGATCAAATGACACGGTGTTGGGGATGGACTAGTTGAGAACTATCAACCTAGTAAAGTTTGATTTTTTTAACCTATATTTGGTCTTTGACAAAGATGGAGAAGAGGTTGAGTTAAGGGGTGCTCAGGAAGTGGGTAGCTGCAAGTCGTTGACTGGCGAGAGCCTTCATTAATATTTTAACCAGAAAGGCCATAGCTGGGATATGGACAATTATTCACAATAGCTTCTATTCTAGTAACAAGTAATTCACCTCCCTCTTTTGTGAAGTCTATCTTATGAACCAATTGTTTGTCTCATTTCTCAGGAAATTCAATTTTGTTTTCTTCGATGACATCCTAGTTTATAACCCTGACCAAGACACCCATTGTAAGCACATCATCCTTACTCTCCAAATCCTCAGAAAACACACACTCTAGGCCAAACCATCCAAATGTTCTTTTGCCCTAATGGAGCTGAATTATCTAGGCCCTGTAATCAATGGGCATGGTGTTTGCAATGATCCAACTAAGATTAAAGTTACGTTGAAGTGGCCCATACCCATAAATGTGAAGGAATTGCATTGCTTTCTTGGTTGAACTGGCTATTATAGAAAGTTTGTCATGGATTATGGAGCTATTATCAAGCCATTGACTAAGTTATTGAAGATGATGTTTTGCTTGGTTATCCACTACTGGCAGAGCTTTTGAGCTGCTCAAGACTGCTATGGTCTAGTTACCTGTCTTTGCCTTACCAAATTTCTATCTACCCTTCCAGTTGGAGAGGCCTAGTTGTCTTGTCTCAAGAGGGAAGACCTATTGCTTACCACAGTCAAGCTTTAGGCATCACACAAGAAGGATTTTCTGTCTATGTAAATGAGGGGCAAGTCTTTTATAAATCACCAAGTGGAGGCATTAACTAGAAGGTAGACCTTTTACTATCCTCATAGATCATGAAAGCCTTAAACATTGAGCACTTCTACCATGCTATATAGTATTGGTGCTTTAATGTACAACTTAAAGTTGTACCATAATATTAAATGTATAAGTTTAGGCTGTACCATAAAGCAATTTGTACCATTATGTTATGGTATAACTTTAAAACTTGAAGTTGTACCATCACATAAAAGTACAAGTTCAAGTTGTACCATAAAAGAATTTGTACAAAAAGTATAGGTACAATCTGACATTGTACCATAACATAAATGTACAATTTTAAGTTGTACCATAAAAGCAAAAACCTATAGCATCAATACTATATAGCATTGTAAAATGTCTCCTTAAACATTTGCTTGGATAGAAAATTCACACTCACATACAAAAGAAAGGGCTAGTTAAATTACTTGGGTTAGACTTTGAGATCAAGTACACACAGAGAAGATTCAATAGAGTGACTGATGCTTTGTCAAGACATCCAGGTTTTCAAGGAATGGGGGAATGCAAATCTATTTCAGCTGTGTTACCAGCTTGGTTAGTGTAACTAGAGCATACTTATGCAAGAGATCCAGATATACAAGGTCTGATAATGGAAGCTACACTTCCCTTTTTTTTGTTCCAGGATGAATTCTGTGAAATCATTAAGGACTGTTGTACCACAATGATGCATTGTATATGGGAAGTGCAGGAGGCGTGAGACATAAAGTGTTGAAGTTGTTATATATTTATATGACTCACAAGTGAGGGGACACTCAGGTTCTCGTGGCCTAGTATGAAGTTGCAGGTGAAGGTGATTGATTCATTTCGCGCAAGACATTGTCAATAGTTAGCACGTTTCAATAACTACCCCATCCTAGACCAAGTTTAATCTAGAATGACATTGTCATAAAGTGGCAATCAAGATCGTATTCACTCGGGTCTCGGTACCCTAGCCTACTTCCCACGTTGTTGTTATCTAGCCGATCGGTTCAAGGGTTTGTGATGGAGGATTCAAGCGAAATATCTAGTAGAGAGAACAAATATGGATAAAAGTAGGTACTTCAGGGAACTATCCCTCACCCGAGCCTAGGTTTACTATGAAAATATCTAAATAAGTTTGGTTTAGTGAATGTGGTGAGTGAGCTCTTTTCCATGTGCTTTCTTGGTTATCCACATGCCTCCGAGTACGCCTCCCTTAAACCCATGTCAGTCACCTCGATCTAGGCTATCATATATTGGGCATTAAGAACATAGCTCATTTTAATGGGTACTACCCACTGTCCACACCGAGGTTTCATCCTGGGTTCTATCTAGGAAGGGATTCCTATGGCAGGGTTATAGTCACCTCGTCCACCATAAGATTCTATTCATTCATCTAATCTAATTTGCTTGATGACGCATACCCGTCTAACCCTAAAACTCCATACCCAGCGTAGAAGCTCAAGTAAGCTAGTAGAGAAGATTATGGCGATTTACCCAAACACAATTAAAGCTAGAGAAGCAATGAAATCAACTAGATAAATATATTTATTCAAAACCCTAAAATATTCATACATTACATAATAGACATAAAACTAGAGTTTGAGGTTTAGAACCCCTAGTACCTTAGAAGACTACTCCATAAAGGAGGGAATAAGATACATAGAAGAAATTAGGGAATACTTGATGTTGAGGAAGGTGACTCCTCTCTTCTAGCGCCTTCTCTTTCTTCTCATCTTCTCCTCTTATCTTTCCTTCAACTTCTCTCTCTAACCATAAATTTATATCTCAAAATCATCTCTCTCAAATGGGTGAAAGGGGTCTTCTATTTATAGCCTTCAGAGGACATGAAAGTTCATAGCCAAGTAGTGTGAAGATCGCGGTCGCGATCTTCTTCCTTGAGACCGCGATTTGTCGACTTCGCCGTTTTGGCCTTCAAACGCGAGGGGTTCGCGGGCTGGCTTCATGTTCGTGATCTGTGAAGCACGGCTGTGAACTTCCTCGCGGCCAGGGTGAACTGTTTTCGTGATCAGACTAGGGAAACTCTCTGTTTCTCCTCGGCTGGCTTCTTCACGAAGTTTGCGCCCGAAGCCTTCAGATTCGCAACTGCGATCTTAGGCTCTCAAGCCGCGATCTTCACCTTGAGGTCATAGTATGTATTCTCGGCCGTGATCTCCATCTCCAGGTCGTGATCTTCAGCCTTCTACCCATTTTGCTACACTTGTGCCCCTGTTCGTACCTAATTCGCATATAATGTTTGAAGCACCCTAAAATCACATCATAATCAAATAGGAACATAATAAGGATGCAATTGACGCTATTCTAATGATTATGCACATGAATTAGCAAGGAATAGACCTAGACATGAAGGGTAAATAATACCAATTTGGGTGTTATCAAACTCCCCCACACTTAGGCATTTGTTTGTCCCCAAGCAAACCTAGTCAAACCAATGCAAATCAAGGTGGGATGTACTCTAGTTCTTCATTGCATAAAGAAGAGTAGATGGAGATGAGAAAATGTTACCATCATCTTATTGTGCACACACAACTTCTTGGGTGAGGACCATACTTACTACCTTGGGCCGAACATTCAAGGTGTGCACCGAGGACTTCTCAATCATCAAATAAGTAGAAGAACTTTGAGGGTGATCTTTATTCTTTCTTTCGATTTAGAAGTTGTCGTTTATTGGTCTCCTTTGTCTACATTGACACGCATTGCACCAATATTTTGCGAACTCTTTTGCAAATAAGCATATATCCATCATGACCAAGATTGGATGAGTCATTTCCTTTCCTTTCAAGATCACATGTGGGGAAGTTGTTGGACGGATTCGTCTTAGCCCGAGCGACACTTCACAGGCTGCACTCCACATTGGGTTTCCACACATGTTGAGTACAAATGAGAGCTTTGAGGTCTCTTAAATCGCTAAAATGTACTTTTTACCTTGTCATACAATTTATTGAGGAGTAAAGATGTTTGGGGGATGGTAAGTAGTGAGAGATGGTCGGGACGCGGTAAAGCTATCCGATCTCCAAACATATCCTCAAAGGGCACTCCGAACCTTGAGGGTCGGTTTCCTCTCATGTGAGAAACTCTTTTAAAAAGATTTTGAGTTCAAAAATGATAGGGAATCCTGCACACATGTTCTTCCTAAAATAGCAGATATTATCAACTCACCTAAGAGGAAGAAGAGTATAAAATCCCTCATACACCGGTACTCTAATCATGCAACTACTCCCTAGAGAGCACAACACATTAATCACCTATCAATTCAAAGCATATCGAGTAGGGGATTGCAAGGAATAAGGTATTTTGGAACCCTCGAATTTGAAATTTTTTGGGTAATGCATTCAAGGTTCCAAAGCACTATCATTTGGCCACTCAACACCACAAACACACAAAATCGCTAGCATGCACTCCAATAAGCATTCATCAATGTCTTAAATTCATAAACAAGGGAGGATACTAGTAATTCATGGCTCAATCAATCATGAAAATCATTCAAGCATCCCCCCCCCCCCCCACACACACACACACCACACACTTGATCAACACATTGTCCTCAATGTGGGAGATTCAGAAGAAAAGATCATTAAAGTTACCATAAGTTAGGTTGTGGGTTGGTGAAGGTACACAAGTGTATGTCTTTGTCTTCCTGGCGGTTTTCACAACGATAAAGCGCATAAGAAGAGAGGAAGACAATTAAGAGTTATAGGTACGATAAGTAGAATATATAAGAACGATTACTACTAGTATATGAATATTTAAAGTACGAAAAGTAAAACGAAAGTAAAGCAATAATTAAATGTTGTTTTAAAGTAAAACAAAGAAAACAAAGAAAAAGAAAAGATAGAACTTAGGCCCTGGATGCATAGTACTCAATCCTCATCGGAGGGTCCTTCTTATTCTTGGAATGGTGAAAGGGGAGGGGGGCGAGCAAGTTGGGCGATACATCTTCAATCGGAATATCCATTTTCTTCATTATAGCATGGATGCGTGCCATGATGTGGAGTCGCGCTTCCTTCTCCCTCCTTTTATTGTGAAGGATCGCCGCTATCATCGCTCCGACTCGGTAATCTTTGCATTGTTGAACGGTTAGGGAACCGAATGAGAAGTGGATGTAGGCGCCTCTCCTCCCTCAAACATGCTTCCCACTTGTTCTTCCTCATTTACTAGTCCTATTCGTCCTTTTTCCGTCGTAGCTTCCGGAAGGCGGAACACGGTACCCTCCATGTCCAACGTGTTAGTAGCTGAAATGTAAGTTCGCGTACTCCCCAAAAGCCATTGTCATTCATGTGCAACGCTTTGATTTTCGAATTCAAGACGTGAAAGGATATAGGAGTAGTCCTACTATCCAACCGAAATTGCATGGCACCGAAGTCGACATGAAAATACTTGGCAAGACGTGTGAAAAAAAATCCTCCATGAACGGCAGTGAGTCAATGATTTGTTTCATAATGTTTGAAGATGGACAAGATGACCAAACCAAGGTGAAGAGATTGAGGTAGGTGCATGCTTTGTAAGAAAGTGACGTCTCGGTTAGTTAAATTGCCTTTACTTTGGTTCTTTCCACCCACGGACCTAGCAATCACATGGTGGATGAGCCGCCACTCTAGTTTCACCTCACTAGCCTTTGATAACTTGACATCCCACAACCAACTATTGGATTTCTTGACTTCGGATTCATAGAAGGACTTGAAACATGGGAAGTCGGATTCCCTTGTCAAGGTGGCCAATGCGTCTGGTGAGTCAATGAAATTAGCCGGGTAAATATCCATGGCTCTTATAAATTCCTATATTGAAAGTTGGAGATGCTCTCTTCCTAGTTCGAATTGGATGTTGTCTTCAAGGTCGGCGACACCTCTCATATCTTGAATGGTAAGAGTGCTAATGAACTCCAGGTTAAGTACCCGGTAGATGTTTTCTTGAATGGATAACAATTTAAGCCACTCCAATTTCTAAACCTTGGATCAGATCGCATCCTCGACCCCAAGTTGTGCGAAGAGTGTCCAGTTGAGACACGTACTCTCTCATAGAGAAAGTCCTTGAAGCCACATAAGTTTGGTCTTAAATTGCTCGGGGACATTGTCCAAATAATAGTGAGTGATGTGCTCTATGCCGCCTCCAACATTGGCTTCATTATCTTGATGGATTTCCCTTTGTAGATGGGGAGAGAGTGATGGTGGATGTGGTTCTTCAAAAATTACTTCGTTTGACCCGGATTTACTTTTCTTCTTCTGATGCCCTTGGCGATGATGAGAGGTTCGAGAACGCTCCATATTAGAAGAACTCTCTCCACGTGCCATTTCCTTAGTCTTGTAAATCATCCTTCAAAACAAGTAGTACATAATGAACAAACCATCAATCCAAACATCACATAACATAAAAAGGAATATTCAAAGAACTCTCAACAACTCTCTAAGTTTCCCCCCCACATTTGAGTGAGACTAAGGCATGCACAAAAGATAGAGCTTAGATGAAGATGGAGTTCAATGACAAGGAAAATGCTAGGGTCTCCCCAAACAATACAAAATTAAGTAAACTAGAGTTAACAAGTGCGTGGAAGTTGATGCTCAATGAGTAGGATTGAAGAAAATGGGAACTATGTAGTTGGGGACTTTCTACGAATACTAGGTGGGCGGTCTTTGAGAACTCAAGAAATGCATGAAAATAGCCCACAAAGGTCTCCCAAATTTCATATCCAGAACATTAAAGCAAAGAAAACAATCCTATGGCATCAAAAAGTCATTCCAAGACGAAGATAATAATTTCAAGTCCTCAAAGCATTCAACACATGTTTAGTAAAACAAGGTAGTTCAAATATGGAGAAATGAAAAAGTGTACCTTATCTTTCTAGGAGACATGTTGGAAATTAAAAAAAAAATCAAAATTACTTCTCAAAAGATGTTGTAAAGTGAAGTAGAGAAGGTATGCTCACATGTTTAGTAAAACAAGATGTTTTCACCCACTTATTAAGCTTAATCATTCATCTAAATCAATCAAACATCCAAAGACAAAGCGGGGCAAGGGTAAAGTCCTATCAATCATCAACTATGCAATTATACTCCTCTACTTAAGCAATTATTCAAAAACAAAAAGGAAAAGATGCGCAAACCGAGTTGTTGGGTTGCCTCCCAACTAGCTCGTCTTTTAAAGTCTTTTCGCCAAACTTGACTCCTTGAGATCAAGAGGGAAGAGCTCCATTATCCATCAATGATTCTTCGTAGAAATCATACTTGTGGTGAAGTCCCAAGTGAAGACCATGGAGTCTCTCGAATGCTTCATCATGTGATTGAGATTCAAAAGAAATATTCGGAGATTGGTGCTCATGATTGAAAGAACTAAACTATAAATGTCCTCATCCGTGAATGACTTATTGCATTCCCCGGATTCTTCATCTTCGAATATCGAAGCTAGTTTGCTCTTAAAATTTTGAACGCTTTCCTTGGGGTATCTCTCCTCAAAGATGAAATCTTCTAAGTTTCCTTCTATGATCATTGGCTTGATGAGAAACTTGGAACAACTCTTGAGTAGGCCTTTTGTAAGGAAACTTTCTTTACCCGGTCTCTTCATAATCTCGCAAGAATAACTCACACCTTCAACTCTTCTATCATGAGGGTCAACATGAGAAACCATATTGAACCATTCTATCTCGGGGCTTGAAGGCGGTGTGGTAGGAGGTGTGACCGGCTCACAATCAATCTTGACATCGTCCCACTTGTAATACTTGTGAAAATTGGGTTTGGAGTAATCTTGTAGCTTATCTCCTCCTCTCAAAACCTAAAGGTGATCTTGCTCCCACTCACATCGATAAAAGTCCGTGCCGTAGCTAAGAATGGTCGGCCTACGATTATCGATACATCACACCCTTCTATGTCGAGAACCATGAAGTCTACAGGATAGACAAAATGAGCACACTTCACCAAGACATTCTTTATGACTCCTCCTTGCTTGACAATTGACCTATTTACCAACTCAATCCGCATTTATTAGGTGTTGGGCCCCATGGTTTAGCGATATTGGGCTTTAGGCCCGGGGAGAAGTAGGTAGGCCCAACCCAGCGAAAAGGCCCAGGAGTTGTGCGGTGACACGCTAAAACACAATACCTAACAATGGCCAAGTGTAACCAATGAAAGGGACTGCAGTATAGTGGCACAAGTAATAAATATCGAATCCACGGGCCTCTAGAGTTACTATTACTCAGCTTCAGTTCATTATCTAGCAAACTAGATTAAGGATTGATTTACTAAACTACTCTACTAAGTACTCTACTAATTACAAGTTGGGAACTCACTTAGGTATGATTCCCCCTAGCTCCTCAATTAGGTCCAAGTTGCAATTACCTTTGGTTGATCTACTGTTGATTAATCTGTGGAAGATCCTAAATTAGCTTGGAATCTCTTAAGCTGACCAAGCCCTCCTAGACAGAATACCCGGCAGGCGACTAGCCTTCACCGGGATAGACTGCTAAGGCGATTCACACAGATCTCCACTACTGGAATGAATTCCAGTACAAAGCAGTGAATTGATTGACTCTCGCACAACCAATTCACCACTATCAATCAAGGAAGCTCTCTTAACCTAATCAGATTCTATCTATCATAGGTTAAAGCAGAAATCAAGAGAAGATGATCATGCTTCAATTGATTCTATAAATCATGCCTCAATCGATTATAATCAAACAATATAGCATCCAAAACTTCATACAAGAAAGATCCTAACACAGGGAACTAGAGTTCCTCAAAACCTAAGTGAAGGGAAGTTACTCCATAGAGAAGAGAGAGGCTGCAGAAATCTGATCTAGATCTTCAATCTCCATCTCCAAGCTTGATTCCCGAGCTCCAATGGTGAAGAAATCCTCCAAAATAGCTCTAAGAATGTTCCCAAGTCTCTCTCTCTCTCTAGGATTCGTCCCTTGGGTGTTTGGGAACCAAAACCCAGCTCTCCCTTTCCTTTGGCTCGAATCTGCCTCAAAAATCCGATTCTGGGCAAAATACGGGCAGCAATACGGTCGTAATTCTTCCATGCCCGTATTTTTCCCAAAACACGCGTTTTGGTTAAGTTTCAGCGCATCCAAAGCTCCTCTCGGCAGTGAAAATACGGGAATGGGAGGGGAAAATACGGTCGTAATTCTCCTGCCCGTAATTCTTCCTCCGCCCCTATTTAATGCTTTGTTTCTCCCTCGTCCAGACTCCGAATCAGTCACCGTTTGATCCTAGACGCTCATAGTCTCGTCCTTTATCTTTTCATGACAATATTCCCTGATTATTTGTCCATAATATGAGGTAGAAGTCCATTATTCCTCAGGTCATGCTCGTGTTTCTTCTCCCGAATTGCCAAATGAATTCCGATTGACTTGAAACTTGCGCCTTTGCTTCAATTTACTTGCTAGGACCTGAAATGTGACAAAGGAACACAACCTAGCATAAAATAGTCCAACAAAGCAAAAACTCAAGCCAAAATGATCAAGAAACGAGGGTGCAAACATGTGCAAATACGATGTTATCAAATTCCCCCATACTTAACCGTTTGCTTGTCCCCAAGCAAACCAAGTCAGATACAAGGTAATCTCAAAACATCTTAATCATGAAATCCTTGGGAACATATCATATAGGCACGAAACACGAGAATCATATTGGCTTTTAGACATCAACGCATAAACAACTTCAACAACAACCTGGACGGCCACCACAGAGGACATTCGAGTGCAGCAAAATCGGGTAAAGGAAGAGTCTCCCTTCTGTTCACCAACCAACCTAGACTTGAGTCAACCGCTTATTCAAGACAGTCAGCTCATGCATAAAACTCAAGACATCAGAATCAAGACCGAGCCATCTAGTTCCTCACCGGGGTAAAAAGTGTAAAGAACAAGGAAATGAATCGCTCACTCTCGACCAGTGGGGTCAGGACAATTTGATGCGAAAAATGTGAATACTTATTCTCTCAATCCCTAACGTCTCTTCACCATGACGGCATCCTCTAAATGTTAGAGTTCACATAAATGGGTGTCATCACTAACTAATGCGGAGGTCTTAGACACAGGTTCAAATGACTGGCTAGGGTCTTGGACATGGGGAAAAGGCCGTTTAGGTGGTGGAAGTATTCATAGCACAAGGTTCCACATTTCCAAACCCAACAAACTCACAGTCAATCAAACCACTTACTTTCCTTATGTCATTCTGCATTACTCAAATTCTTTAGAGCACAAGAGCGAAGGAGGTCACATAAATGTTAGTATTTCTAAGCCAGACTGCTAAGAAACACTACTTACTAAGCATGATTCATATTTTTGGTAGTGGCTCTCTTTAGCTTTCAGCCATTTTTTCTTCTTTTTATTTTCATTTCTTGAGAGAACCACCACCTCTGCACATTTTTCAAACACATGCCCAACTTTTTTAAGAACTACCTCCAACCCTCACATTATTTTTAGCAGAAACAGCAGAGAACATGCAAAAACCACTCCGTGGAACCTTCTAAGAGATGCAAAATGGTGATTTTCCATTATAAACCGAAAGAAAGAATAACACACGGCTCAAAGGGGTTGACTAGGGGGTATGACACACCAGGACAGTCAATTTGGTCGTGGACTAATCCTATGCCTCCATCATCTTAGCTAATGACAACGTGAATGCTGCACATCATGGAAGAGGGAACTATCGCACAAGAAAGAAACGAGCAGGCTCAAATCTCACATGGCTACCTATATGCTCTATCTCTCATTCTGATTCCCTGAACTAGATGCATAAACGACTGTCAAGAACAAGTGATCAATCCAAGTCACAGTTGGTAAGCAAACAGTTGAAAAACTGAACTCCTACACAATTCTACTGCACATCTCAGTCATCATTATAGGTTGTCCTAGTCACATTCAAGTTGTCATGCATTAATTAGAAAGCCATTCGATTCACCAATTAAACCACAGTGCCAATATGATCAAGCAAACAACAGTGCTTGGAGCCCTCAAATCTCAAGATTTGGACAGTGGACTAGGCTCCAAGCACACACATACAACCAAACATTCACACGCATACATAATCGAACATCCCCCCACATTTAAGCACGACATTGTCCTCAATGGAAGAAAGATAAGGAGGGTAGAACGAAGTTACCAGATCAAGGGTGAATGATGGTGGACGGGGCAGGCGGTGCATTCTAGGAGGAGAGCGTAGTCGGAACACAAACACCCCACAAAATCTCACAAAGGTTGAGTTATTGACTCTAAAATCAAAGAACAAAACTAACTAAACCGAGGAGAAATAGAGAAAGAAATGCAAACCGACTGGTTGGGTTGCCTCCCAACAAGCGCTTCTTTCACATCGTGAGCCGGACGATGGCTCCTAAGTTTCGGTCCACACCAAAACCTCCTTGAAGTTGAGGTTCTCGTCGATGAGGTGGAGTCTCAAGTCACGAGCATGTGGTATGACAGGTGATGGAAGATCGTGCACTTGATGCAGATAACGTCTCCACCCTCGAGACCTCTTCTTCTCTTCTCTCATCTCATTGCCCCAAACTAGATATGCCAACATCGATTGACCACCATCGAGTCCACCAAGAGGAACCGATGTCGATGTGGCCTTGGTCTGGCAAAGAGACACTGCAAATGGGTCCTTGCTAAGCAGTTCCTCGAAGTTTTGTGGGGATATTACTTGCAACTCATGGCCGGTGCAGGCCTCTTCCACCTCGACTTCGTCCTCGGCCTGAACGCCAATTGCTTCTTCATCCTCCCTTCCTTGTTCATGTGGTATCACTCTTGGGAAATGATCAAGAACTCCTCCTGCTTCACTTTCGTCATCCTCCACAACTTCTTTCTGCACCCTTTCTTGCTCTTCTTCTTCTAGCACAGATTGGAGAGCAAGTTGCCAAGCAATTTCTTCCATGAGATCTTCTTGCATCTCCTCACTCATGCCCACCTCTTCAAAGCTCAGTTTGGGATGTGGGAAGGTGTGGTCGGCTACGACAGGACATTCCTGATCATGATCATCACGGGAGCTCTCCGTTACAGCTTCAGTGTGCTCCACAATGTCCTTGTAGCCTTCTTCTTCCTCCTCCTCTTCTAGTATGGTAGCAGAAGGGTGATCTGGAGCAGGTTGTGCACAAGATCGCTCAAGATCATCGACGCTCTTCTTAAGGATCAGGAGGATCTCCTCTGTTTCACGAAAGGCCTGGGTACAAAGATCCATCCTATCCCATAATATCTCACTGTCTCGAGCAAACTGCTCCATGAGAAGCTTCAACTCATAATTTGGATCTGGTTGTGGAGTGTAGCATGGCTCTGCAGAATGGCCCGTGAAGGCTGCCATGGGTAACTCCAGCTCCGATGGCCCTTCTGGTTGTGGGAGAAATTTTTCTTGATAAGGAGGTTGTTCTTGATATGCCCAGGGGTCTGATTGTTCTCCATAGTAAGGGGTTTGGTACTGGAACCCGAATCCATAGTCTTCTCCTCCTTGATTGCTCCAGGGAGTCTCGAGGTAATACCACTCGGACGGTGGTGGATACCCCCAATGGTTGGAGAAGCCATGAGGATCCATGATTCAGATATGCACCAACAAAAACAAAAACACCCAAGTGAAAAGCAAGGGTGGAAAAGAAAAACGCTAAAGTAACAAACTTCTGCCTTTCCTAATAATCAAGAAAGTCCCCGGCAACGGCGCCAAAAACTTGACACGCTAAAACACAACACCTAACAATGGCCAAGTGTAACCAATGAAAGGGACTGCAGTATAGTGGCACAAGTAATAAATATCGAATCCACGGGTCTCTAGAGTTACTATTACTCAGCTTCAGTTCATTATCTAGCAAACTAGATTAAAGATTGATTTACTAAACTACTCTACTAAGTACTCTACTAATTACAAGTTGGGAACTCACTTAGGTATGATTCCCAGTAGCTCCTCAATTAGGTCCAAGTTGCAATTACCTTTGGTTGATCTACTGTTGATTAAACTGTGGAAGATCCTAAATTAGCTTGGAATCTCTTAAGCTGACCAAGCCCTCTTAGGCAAAATACCCGGCTAAGGCGATTCACACAGATCTCCACTACTGGAATGAATTCCAGTCCAAATTAGTGAATTGATTGACTCTCGCACAACCAATTCATCACTATCAATCAAGGAAGCTCTCTTAACCTAATTAGATTCTATCTATCATAGGTTAAAGCAGAAATCAAGAGAAGATGATAAGGCTTCAATTGATTCTATAAATCATGCCTCAATCGATTATAATCAAACAATATAGCATCAAAAACTTCATACAAGAAAGATCCTAACACATGGAACTAGAGTTCCTCAAAACCTAAGTGAAGGGAAGTTACTCCATAGAGAAGAGAGAGACTGCAGAAATCTGATCTAGATCTTCAATCTCCATCTCCAAGCTTGATTCCCGAGCTCCAATGGTGAAGAAATCATCCAAAATAGCTCCAAGAATGTTCGCAAGTATCTCTCTCTCTCTCTCTCTCTCTCTAGGGTTCGTCCCTTGGGTGTTTGGGAACCAACCCCCAGCTCTCCCTTTCCTTTGGCTCGAATCTCCCTCAAAAACCCGATTCTGGGCGAAATACGGGCAGAAATACGGTCGTAATTCTTCCATGCCCGTATTTTGCCCAAAACACGCGTTTTGGTTAAGTTTCAGCGCATCCAAAGCTCCTCTCGGCAGTGAAAATACGGGCATGGGAGGGGAAAATACGGTCGTAATTCTTCCTCCGCCCCTGTTTAATGCTTCGTTTCTCCCTCGTCCGGACTCCGAATCAGTCGCCGTTTGATCCTAGACGTTCGTAGTCTCGTCCTTTATATTTTCATGACAAGATTCCATGATTATTTGTCCATAATATGAGGTAGAAGTCCATTCTTCCTCAGGTCATGCTCGTGTTTCTTCTCCCGAATTGCCAAATGAATTCTGATTGACTTGAAACTTGCGCCTTTGCTTCAATTTACATGCTAGGACCTGAAATATGACAAAGGAACACAACCTAGCATAAAATAGTCCAAGAAAGCAAAAACTCAAGCCAAAATGATCAAGAAACGAGGGTGCAAACATGTGCAAATACGATGTTATCATGCAGCTACATGCAAGGGAGTGTGTTAGGCGGTCACCCTAGGGAAAAGACAAGGCATATATTGCCTGACATAAAGCACTGGTTGTGACAAGGAAGAGAGATCTTCTAAGATATTTTCCTCGAAACAAGCAAGACTAAGCATTAATTACCCGCCGTATGCGGTCTATTGCAAGACAGTAAATGGTTAGGGAGCCAGACAGAGCATTTAATGCTCTAAAGTCCACCTAACCGGGTATAAATACCCCCCACACTAGCATTGAGGGTAACTCAACTACTTCATCTCTCTAAACACTACACATAATCTCACTTCTCTCTGTAACTGAAGCATCATAGAGTGTCCTGGGAAACCGCTCACGGACCCCTATTTTGCAGGGTTCGGGAGTGCCTTCTATCATCAAGAACAGACGCCTCACTCGTGCTCCATTAAACTGCATAGTACATTCTAGGCACAAATAGTAGGTGTGAGTGGTCCAAGGTCTAACTCATTGTATATTCTTGTAGGCATAATATTGATACTAGACCCCAAATCTTCTAGCGGATTCCAAAATTTTTTGACTCTGAAGGTTCATGGAATAGTGAAGATTTCCAGATCTCTTAATTTTGGAGGGAAGCCTTCACATCCGATGGATGCCGAAGCAACTTCACTAACGGAAACCATAGCAACTTCTTCCATTTTCCTCATTCTCAACAATATTTCTTTCAGGAATTTAATATATTTCGGAATCTTCATAACCATGTCTAAGAAAGGGACCGTTACCTTCAATTGTATCCTTTCATGGAGCACATTCATGAAATAGATCACTTTCGAATAACTGTCTAGGATAAGGAGCTTTTGGTGTTGGATCCGGTGCTTGGGTCTTCTTAGACTTCTCGTCATCTTCAATCTTGATTTCAATAATAGGTTGCACATCTTCGTGAAATAACTCTTCTTCTTGAAAAACTTCACGTTGAACATCTCTTACCGATATCCTCGGTGTTGAGATAGGAACCTCCTTCAAAGGTCAGCCACTCCATAGAGTTACAACATGAAATCCCTCCTTAGGATTAAGTTAGGTATTGCCTGATAAAGTTCGTTGTGGTCTTGATGATAGAGTTTGTGCCAATGAGCTTAGTTGGGCTTCAAGATTTTGAAGTGAAGCTTGTTGATTCCTTTGACCCGTTTCCAAACTTGAGAATTTGGTCGTAGTATTCTCTATAAATTTGTCAATAGCCTCAAACTTCTTGTTGGAGTGTGTAACGAATTGGCCCACCAAGTCTTCAAGCTTAGAGACTCGACCATCGAAGGGTCGACTTTGTTCTTGATACGCCCCTTGGTATGAAGGTTGACTCGGCCTTGGATAAGCATTTTTCATAGGAGCTTGAGATTGAAACCTCGGAGGCTTTCTATCCGTTGGCGAATACCAAAGAAAGTTAGGATGATTCCTCCAACCTGGACTATACGTAGAGCTATAACGGTTCTTTCCTCGCGATTGCCCTTCGACAAAGTTGGCTTGCTCAAATTTTATTGAGGCCTCAATCATAGACTTATACTCCACCATAGCGGTGCAGTCAAAATCGTGCATTAAAACGTAAAAACTTACGTTTTTACGTATCTAGGCCACCAAAACGTTTCAGTTTCTACCTAAAGTCGTTTAGTCACAAAAACTTGTAAAAGCATGGGTAAAATCGATAGAATCGCTTAAAATCGGTAAAATCGCGATTCTGAAGCGTTTTTATACGATTTTGATCATCTCATAAAAATGTGCTAATTGGTCCAAAATGAAGTAATTTTTGAGACATATTAGCAAAAAATAAAAAAAAAGGAAAACATGATTCATCACTCGTTCTACAACTAGTGTCGAAATAGGGGCTTCACATTAGGTTGAAAAACACCTAATGGTATTCTCAACAGTCGCTAACCTTCTATCAGTCTTCTCCCTTAATCTTCACATGTGGCTCTTACATGTGTTACGATGAAAGTTTATGGGTAATTGACCGTATGTAATTATGTAAACTCAAACCAGTTTATTAGAATTTGGATTCTCAAGCTCGTTTACGGGTTACGATCTACGTTTATGAGCTTATTATTAAGATGCTATGAGTTTTCTCTACTTTTGAGTCAACGCAAATTAGTTTATGTGTTAGATATTATATTTTAATTATGAATTTCATGTAGTTATCCACTTATCTAAAATCTACACACTCACATTTATATACTATATGTTGTACTTAACATATTTTAGCTATTTTAGAGGGTGCGTCAAAAACTTACGATTTTACGCTTTGATTCTACGTTTTACGATTTTACCCATTTTCCGCTTCTAGGTAGAATCGCGCTTTTAACTGCATTGCACCATAGTGCGACTCGAGTTGCCACATCAATAGCATTTCATGAGTTGCTTCCCATTGCCTTTCATTGATGATGCAACTTGATCAATTTCTTGGAAAGTTCTTGTATATTAACCGCTAACGACAATGGTTCTTCAATCTTGTATATGCCCGTTTAGCGAGTGGGGTCCAGGGGCAACGCCCCCGGCCCGCGGTGTATGGGCTCAATGTTATTTGGGTTCGGGTTATGGGCCTGGTATATGGTCTGTAACCGTTTCCTTTGCCAGATTGGATTAGGTTTAGACCCACATGGAGAAGTACTATAAATACTTCTCATACTCCTCTGTAATCTCTAATCTCCTCGATATAGTGAAACTGGCTCTCTCTCGCCCGTGGACTAGCTAACACACATCGTGTTAGTGAACCACGTAAATCGTGTGTCGTGTTTTCGATTCTCGCTTTCGTATTCTTGCTTTGTCGGCGATTTCTCGATCCATAGCAGCGCATTTATAACAGAAGGCGGAATGTACCTTGCGAAGAACTGTTTGCATAGATCATCACATGAGATGATGGAATGATGGGGATGGTTATTTAACCATTGTTTTGCCGCTCCATTTAGAGTTAACGGAAATAAACTCATAGGAATTGCCTCTTTAGGAACCGCGTTTACCTTGATTCCATTCATAAACTCCCAGAACGACTTGATATGTGCATGAGCATCTTCACTCATCATCCCATTGAATTGAACCGCACTTTGAAGCATCGAAATTGTGCCCGACTTTATCTCATAGCTATTTTTTGGCACTGTTGGGTGAAGAATAAGTGATTGAACATTATCCATACTTGGCCATGAGTAAGATCCCATTGTTCTAGGCCTTGGTGGAACTTGAGTTTCTTGTTCTTGATCCGCCATTGGTGGAGATTGATGTCTCACAACTCTTCTTAGATTTCAAATGGTTCTCTCGATTTCAGTATCAAAAGTTACAATCTCTAAAGAGTCCCTTCTTTGCATACAAAAGTGCTACAAGACACAAACTCGACAACCCGTAATGCACAAAGTTGGATAACAAAACGATAAAATATACGAAAGTAACAAAACCAAAACTAAGAAACTAAAGGCTAAACTATGACAACTCGATGATTTTCTGCTAGTTACCGAGGGTCACCGGCAACAGTGCCAAAAAGCTTGATAAATTCATTCCGTGCAAGTCATTGTCAATAGTTAGCACGTTTCAATAACTATCCCATCTTAGGCCAAGTTTAACCTAGAGTGGAGTTGTCATATAGGGGCAATCAAGGTCATATTCACTCGGGTCCTAGTACCCTAGCCTACTTCCCACGTTTTTGTTATTTAGCCGATCGGATTAAGGGTTTGGGATGTAGGATTCGGGCGAAATAACTAGTAGAGAGAACAAATATGGATAAAAGCAGGTACCTCAGGGAACTATCCCTCACCCGAGCCTAAGGTTACTATTCAATATCTAAATAAGTTTGGTTTAGTGAATGTGGTGAGTGAGCTCTTTTCCATGTACTTTCTTGGTTATCCACACGCCTCCGAGTACACCTCCCTTAAACCCATGTTAGTCACCTCGATCTGGGCTATCGTATCTGGTGCATTAAGAACATAGCTCATTTCAATGGGTTCTACCCACCGTCTACACCGAGTTTTCATCCCGGGTTTAATCTAATTTCTATAGCATGGGTACGGTCTCCTCTTCCACCATAAGATCATATTCATTCATCTAACCTAATTTGCTTGATGACGCATACCCGTCTAACCCTAAAACTCCATACCCAATGTAGAAGCTCAATTAGGCTAGTGGAGAAGATTATGACGACTTACCCAAACACAATTAAAGCTAGAGAAGCAATAAAATCAACTAGATAAACACATTCATTCAAAACCCTAAAATATTCATACATATATAATAGCCCTAAAACTACGGTTTGGGGCCTAGAACCCCAAGTATCTTAGAAGACTACTATATAAAAGAGGGAAGAAGATACATAGAAGAAATTATTGAAGACTTGATGTTAAGGAAGGTGGCTCCTCTCTTTTAGCTCCTCCTCCTCCTTCTCCTCTTCTCCTTCCTTTAGCTTCTCTCTCTCTAAACCAAAATTTCTATCTCAAAATCAGCTCTCTCAAATGGGTGCAAGGGGTCTTCTATTTATAGCCTTAAGATGATGGGAAAGTTCACAGCCAGGTAGTGTGAAGATCGTCGTGGTAGCGATCTGCCGACGCTGCCGTTTTGGCCTTCAAATGCAAGGGGTTCGCGGGGTGACTTCATTGTCGCGATCCGTGAAGCGTGGCCACAAACTTCCTCACGGTCAGGGTGAACTATGGCTGTGATCAGAATGGGGAAACTCTTTGTTCCTCCTCAGATGGCTTCTTCACGTAGTTCGCATCCGAAGCCTATTGATTTGCAGCCGCGATCTTCACCTTGCGTTCGCAGTCTGTATTTTCGGCCGTTGATCTAGTCTCCAGGCCGTGATCATCAGTCTTCTGCCCATTTTGCTACACTTGTGCTCCTATTCGTACCTAATTCGCATGTAATGTCTAAAGCCCCCTAAAATCACATCACAATCAAATAGGAACAGAATAGGGATTTAGTTGACATTATCAAAAGGAAATGAAGGGTAAATAAAACCAAATTGGGTGTTATCAAAAGGAAATGGTGAAGGAGTTTGATGTGTGCCAGCGTTGCAAGACTGAAAATGTATCATACCCTGGCTTGTTACAATCTTTGCTAGTATGAGAGATATCTTGGCAGCATATTTCAATGGACTTTTTTATATGGGTTGCCTAAGTATGCAGGAAAGGAAGTAGTGTTTGTGGTCATTGACATGTTCTTCAAGTATGGACACTTCTTCGGTCTGACAAGACCCTATAGTGTGCTTGAGTGGCTCAAACCTTCTTTGATGGTATCTTCCAGTTAATTACATGGAATGCCACAAACAATAGTTCCAGACAGGGATGTTGTGTTCACAAGTGCTTTCGTGTGTAAACAGTTTGAGCTATAAGGCCTTGATTTGCACTACTCCACAACTTACCATCTTCAAATTGATGGACACACTAAAAGATTAAATAGGTGACTGGAGGATTACCTAAGGATCATGATTCATCACTTACCATGGAACTGGATACCTGGATTTTCTGGCGAGAATGGTGGTAGTGGTACAACACTAGCTACCACAATAGTTTGCAGCTAACTCCCTTTGTGACTTTGTATGGTACATAGCCTCGCAGCTTGAAGTTAGAAATCTCTTGTTTCACCTTAGTAGCCGCAGTAGCAGAGAAGTTGCAGAAACAATAGAAATTGAACAAGGTCATCAGAGAAAATCTAGTTATGGCTCAGAATAGACAAAAACACATGGTTGTAGGCACATGACTGGAAGGGAGTTTGTGATGGGAGACTAGGATGATTTGAGGCTCAAACTCTATAGGGAGGTTGATAAGCTTAATAAACATACATGTATTATGTGCACAAATGATTGATCCTTATGCATGTATGTGTTAAAATTGCTCTAAATTAGTTCATATTGACCACGGAATGACCCTAGTGTCATTACCAAGACATGCAGCGATTTAAAGCAGATTGAAGCTAAGATTGTGAACAAAACAAAGTGCAGTGGATGAATGCAGGTGCAGTGGCAAAGTGCAGACCTGCAGTGGCAAACGTTCAGCATGACGCCAAATCGATAAAGACCCAAATCGAATTATCGTTGGATGGAATCTTCACTCGACGGTCAGCAGCCTTAGAAATCATTGGAATTGGATAAGTTTTCTTGAAGTGAGCAAATGGATTTGGTAGCTCACTGATGACTTGATATATACACATGTTTTTGTCCACCATTCTTGTACTGTTTGAGTCTTATTTCTCGTGTTTTAGGCTAATTTCACGCTAGGTTGTTCGTGTTTGTGATATTTCAAGTCCTAGTACGAGAATGAAGGTTTGGGAACGAGTTTTGTGTCGATTGGACGAAGATTGGACGTTTGGCGAGAAGCTGAGAAAGCCACACGGGCACGCCTAAAATCCCACACGGCTGTGTGACTTGGCCGTGTTGCACCATTTTGCACGGGCAAGCCACACTGGCCGTGTAGGGGACCCCTTGTGGCCGTGTGGAAAGTCCAGGGAGCTCACACGGGCAGCCTGGAAATCCACAAGGCTGTTTATCCCTGGCCGTGCAGCATGCCTGGAAGTCACTTAATCGAAACGCGGTGTTTTGATTGCCACACGGGTGGCTTGAATTTCCACACGGCCGTGCGGTCGAGAATTTCTGGGTTTTAACCCAATTTCGAGCCAAAAGAGAGGGAATCGACTTTTTGGAGCAAAATAAGAGTTTTAGAGAGAGAAAGTGTGAAGAACAAACCCTAGGAGCTATTTGGAGTGGATTTCTCACCATTGAAGCCCCGATTGCATCCTTAGGAGTGAAGATTGACATCCCAAAGGAGATTCTTCCCATTGTTATGAGTATGACTGCTTTGTATTCTGTTTCCCTATCTCTCTCTATGGAGTAGAACTTTCTCTCACTTGGGTATGAAGAACCCTAGTTCCATGTGTTAGGGATCATGATTGTAATGACTTGGGATTGTTATACTGTTTGATTTTAATCGATTGATGCATGATTCATAGAGTCAATTGAAGTCTGATCATCTTTTCTTGATTTCTGCTGCAACCTGAGATAGATAGAATCTGATTAGGTTGTTAGAGCTTCATCAATCGATAGTGGTAGATTGGTTATACGAGAGTTAATGAATCTACCGCTTTGTACCGGAACCCAATTCCACTAGTGGAGTTCTATGCTTATTGCGTCAGCAGTCTATCCTGGTGAAGGTTAGTCGCCTACCGGTTAGCCTGCCTGAGAGGGCTTGGTCAGCTTAAGAGATTCCAAGCTACTGCCGGATCTTCCGCAGTCTAATCAACAGTTAATTAACCCAGGGTAATTACAACTGAGACCTAAATAAGGAGCTAGGGGGACTCATTCCCGAGTGACTCTTCCTTTGCTTTAGAAAATCGAATCATTTCCTGCTTTCTTATTGCTTTTACTTAAATCAACATTCACTTGACTTAGTTGGATAGATAATAGATATTCACGGAGTAGGAAGTAGATCTAGACCTCGGGTTGACAATTAGAGCTTGCCTGTTACTGCATTTCCGGACTGCGATTACACTTGGTCGCAGTTTGGTGTTGTGTTTTAGCGTGTCAAGTTTTTGGCGCCGTTGCTTGGGAACCTCTAGGTTATTGGGGAAACGTGAAAGTTTGTTACTCTAGCTTTTTCTTTACTGCATTTTCTCTCTTCCACCTGTGTGCCTTCACGGGTTGCTTTTGCTGATTGTGTGCAAGTAGTGCATGACCCGTAGCTAGTTGGGAGATTTACTACCATTAGACCAAGAGCTTGAACGAACCTGTAGGAACTTCAAGCGGGCTCTAAAGGCGAGATTGGCTGCAGAGGAGGCCTTAGCACAACTGCAAATCACCGAGGAGGAAGAGATGGGTGACCCACAGGACCATGATGTGGTCCTTCCCGAGGAGCAAACCATGGTGTACTACTGGACCGCCAGAGCCGCGGACATGAGGTCGCCCATTCAGCACCCTGAAGTCCCAGCCAACAACTTTGAGGTGAGCACCTCGGTCATCAGTATGTTGCGCGGTTCGGTGGTATTCCGTGGCAAGGAGGGGGAGTTCCCCAGATCACATCTGAGGCGATTTCACGAGCTCATTGATGGAATCAAGAGAAATGGGGTCCCAGCCGATGCCATCCAGCTGAGGTACTTCCCATTCACTTTGGAGGGGCAGGCCAAGGAGTGGCTGGACACCAGGCCCCCTGGATCGATCACCACGTTCGCCAACCTGGTGGACAAGTTCCTCACTCGCTACCATCCTCCGTCCAAGACGACGGACCTGCAGAAGCAAATTACCCACTTTGCTCAGGATGAAGATGAGACCATCCGAGATGCTTGGGAGAGATACACCAGTCTCTTCCTCAAGCGTCCCAACCATGGACCGACGCCTTCAAGGTAGGCACATTCTACCATGCCCTCTTCCCAAGACAAGCGGCTGATTGACTCGGTCTGTGGCGGGAATATGCTCACCAAAACACCACCACAGCTGAATAAACTTTTTGAAGAGATGGCAGAGCAGGGCTATGATTGGTGAACTGCGAGGAGATCGAGACAAGCACTAGGGAGGGGTGTGCATGTTGTAGCCACCCAGTCATCTGATTTGGTGCAGGTGTGATCAAAACGGGTTTCAGCCATTGATCGCTTTGGGATGATTCCAGGGACCGGACAGCAGCAGGCGATGCACTGCCACTGGTGCGAGAGCACTCATCACAGGGTAGAAGACTGCCATGCGATGAGGGAGTCGACTACACCCCAGGAGCAAGTGAACTTCATCAATAATGCTAGGCACAATGACCCCTACAGTAACACGTACAACGAGGGGTGGCGCTAGGATCCCAACTTCTCTTAGGCTGGGGCCAATCCTAGACCACCAGCCTCCCAAGGACCGCCAGGCTTCCAGAGGCCGCCATATCAGCCCAGACAGGGACAATTCCAGCAGCAACAGTCTCTCTACCAGCCCATGCAGGGGCATGCTGCTCAACCCCAGCCGCGACCCTTCCAGCAGCCAGGTGCAGCCCCTGCAACCCCAATGCAGAATGATCCGATAGCTGAATTGCTGGACTTGGTGGGTTCTCTTGCCAGTTCCAGTGCTCAGAAATTCAACACTATCGAGCAGTTCATGGAAAAGGCCTCGGGTAAATTCCTGGCTCTTGAAGCTGGCCAGAGGAACACATAGGCTGTCTTGCAGGATATCCAAATCCAGCTAAGGAGTGTGACTCAAGCAGTGGCATAGAGGGCTCCAGGTACCTTGCTAGGTCATACCATTCCTTATCCGAAGGACCCGAATGTCCACTGTAATGCCATCACAACAAGGAGTGGCAAGGAGACTGCAGACCCACCTGTCCTGGCCAGACAAGCAGGAGGTAGACCTGCCTCGGCATCTCCAGCGGTTGAAGAGGCAGCGGAGAAGGAGGTTGAGGTGTCTGCGCCTAAGCCGCAACCAGTAGTGAAGGAGTAAATCCCTCAACTCCCCTTCCCTTCTCGGTTGCACAAAGACAGGCTAGAGGCAGAGTTTGGGAACTTCATGTCCATGCTTAGGAAGCTAAATGTCCAAGTGCCCTTCTTGGAGGCACTATCTCAAATGTCTAAGTATGGGAAGTTCCTGAAAGATCTTCTCTCAAAGAAGCAGAAGCTGAGCGAGCTGGCCACTGTAGAGCTCAACGAGGAGTGCTCGGCCATTCTGCAGAACAAGCTTCTGCCGAAGCAGAAGGACCCAGGTAGTTTTACTATCCCGTGCTCTATAGGTAAATTGCATGTAGAGAGGTCCTTGGCGGATCTAGGTGCTAGTATCAATGTCATGCCATATAAATTGTTCAAGAAACTAGGCCTAGGTGAACCTAGTGCAACTAGGATGAGTCTTCAATTAGCTGACCGATCTATAGTGCATCCTAGGGGCATAGTGGAAGACCTTCTGGTTAAGGTTGTCAGATTCTTTTATCTTGTGGATTTTGTTGTCTTGGACATCAATGAGGACATAGAAGTGCCCCTTATACTGGGAAGGCCTTTCCTGGCCACCGCCAAGGCTCTCATAGATGTACATGATGGGACCTTAGTCTTGAGGGATGGCGAGGAGCGAATAACATCTTCCATTGCTAATACTCTCCCTGCTTCATCGCCTTTGCATGCTATCTCTCACTAGGAGCACGAGTCTGTCGTGTATCCTTCTATGCTTCCCATTTTGCAGGATCCCCCTCCCATATCTTCGCCGCCGCTCCCATCCACTCTGTGGCCAAAAGAAAAGATCAAGGAGGAGTGGCGGCCGAAACTGCAGGTAGCTAAGCCTGCTCACAAGAAAGCCGGAGACCACTATGAGCTGGTCCCGCCTCCAGAGCCTCGACCGCCTTGGCCATCGGAGTATTCACTCGCTTGCATCCTGCCGGATGGCCAGGTCGAGTTGACGAGTGCTGGTGGTCACATCCGTCGTGTGCATGGCCACCATCTGAAGTTGTACCTCAAGAGCGATGTGGATCCGCTCTTGAAGGCACCTGTTCCTACACCTCTCGAAGCATCCACCCTCCTGGCGTCCAACTAAAAGACGGTAAAGAAGCGCTTGTGGAGAGGCAACCCTACCTAGGTTTGCATTTCCTTTCCTTTTCCCTTTTGATTTTTTGTGTTTTTGAGTCTTGAGGTGTTGTCCAAGGGTCGAATGTCGATTTTGCCCGAAAACAGGTCAAATTCAGGGCTCTGGAATTCCACACGGTCAGACCTAAATTCCACACGGCCGTGTGAAATCCTCGGCCAGCCCGTGTGGATTTCTCGGCCACACACGGGCAAAAACCTCAGCCGTTCTTGTATCGTTGGCCTGCCCGTGTGGCCCACCCGGCGCGTGTCCACCATTCTTGTATCGTTTGAGTTTTGTTTCTCGTGTTTAAGATCGATTTCACGCTAGGTTGTTCGTGTTTGTGATACTTCAGGTCCTAGTACGTGAATGAAGGTTTGGGAACGAGTTCTGGGTCGATTGGACGAAGATTGGACGTTTGGCGAGAAGCTGGGAAAGCTATAACGAGCATGCCTAAAATCCCACACGGTCGTGTGACTTGGCCGTGTGGCACCATTTTGCACGGGCAAGCCACACTGGCCATGTAGGGGACCCCTTGTGGCCGTGTGGAAAATCCAGGGAGCTCACACGGGAAGCCTGGAAGTCCACACGGCCGTGTGTCCCTTGCCGTGCAGCATGCCTGGAAGTCACTTAATCGAAACGCGGTGTTTTGATTGCTACACGGGCGGCTGGAATTTCTACACGGCCATGTGGCCTGGCCGTGTGGTCGGGAATTTCTGTGTTTTAACCCAATTTCGAGCCAAAGGAGAGGGAATCGACTTTTTGGAGCAAAAACAGAGTTTTAGAGAGAGAAAGTGCAAAGAATAAACCCTAGGAGCTATTTGGAGTGGATTTCTCACCATTGAAGCCCCGATTGCATCCTCAGGAGTGAAGATTGACATACCAGAGCAGATTCTTCCCATTGTTATAAGTATGACTACTTTGTATTCTGTTTCCCTCTCTCTCTATGGAGTAGAACTTTCTCTCACTTGGGTGTGAAGAACCCTAGTTCCATGTGTTAGGGATCATGATTGTAATGTCTTGGGATTGTTATACTGTTTGATTTTAACCGATTGATGCATGATTCATTGAGTCAATTGAAGTCTGCTTTTCTTGATTTCTGCTGCAACCTGAGATAGATAGAATCTGATTAGGTTGTTAGAGCATCATCAATCGATAGTGGTAGATTGGTTATACGAGAGTTAATCAATCTACTGCTTTGTACTGGAACCCAAATCCAGTAGTGGAGTTCTGTGCTTATTACCTCAGCAGTCTATCCCAGTGAAGGTTAGTCGCCTGTCGATTAGCCTGCCTGAGATGGCTTGGTCAGCTTAAGAGATTCCAAGCTACTGCCGGATCTTCCGCAGTCTAATCAACAGTTAATTAACCCAGGGTAATTACAACTGAGACCTAACTAGCTAGGGGGACTCATTCCCGAGTGACTCTTCCTTTGCTTTAGAAAACCGAATCATTTCCTGCTTTCTTATTGCTTTTACTTAAATCAACAATCACTTGACTTATTTGGCTAGATAATAGATATTCACGGAGTAGGCAGTAGATCTAGACCCCAGGTTGACAATTAGAGCTTGCATGTTACTGCATTTCCGGACTGCGATTACACTTGGTCGTAGTTTAGTGTTGTGTTTTAGCGTGTCACTCGCCAATTTATAAAAAGATGCAGAAAAATAAATGCAAGGAGAGAGACTTAAGCTGGCAGCAGCCTTCTCTTGGAAATGGGATCTGTAATTGCCTTGTTTTGTGGGATTAAATCTGCAAAAAATGGATTAAAAGGGGGCAGCAACTAGGGGCCTTAGCAGACACTTTTGGAGACAAATTTGGAGAGAAAAATTGAAGGAGAGAGCTCACTTTGACACACTTTGGAGTTGAGCATTTTGAAGAAAGGAAGACCCTTGGAAGTTGGGGATTAACTTCAACACTTAGTACTTTCTCTACTCCTTTGTTTAGGTAATTACTTATCATGTTGAACATTAGCATGTTTATGTACTTTCTTTTCATCATGAACTAATCCCCCAATTTCTGGGGGAAACTTATGGATTCCATTGTCTAGCCTTGATGTTTTAATCACAACTTGTTTTTCCTCCATTTTCTATCGTGTGAAATTGTGTAAAGCTTTGTGTTGATTGGCCACCTTCACGATGATTTGTAGTTTTCTAGGTTTATAACGATAGTGAAGACCTAGTAACCGAACACATTTTACACGACATAATTGCCTATCGAAGCGATAATGGATTAAATAGGAAATTATGTTGTCATTTTAGGGATATCGTTCTTAAGGCTAATTAATTAATTCATTTAACTACGATAGTAGAAATCATCTTAATTAGTTAGTACGTGGTAATTGTCGATAGAGATAGCTATCAATTTAGAGGTATCCTGACTATAAAAATATGGATTAAATTGATTGACAAGGATAATTAAAATTATCGAGGTAAATAGTAGAACCTTGTGTTTCCCCTGGAACTCTCAAAAGTTAATTTCTCCAAAATATTTCATTTTTCGATTTTGTTAATTTCTGTAATTCTACAACTCATCACTTAATTAATTTTGTTTGAGTGAACTGTTTGATTTGTATTTTAGTGTGCAGAAAAAGTTTCAGGAAATTTCTTCTTTGCTTATGCAAAGGAGTGAGGGTAAGGAGTTGCTGCCACTAATTCACGAAATCGAGAAAGCCTGTAAGTAAATCCGAAAATAGGCAAGGGTAGGGAGAGCCAAAACAACCAAATTGACACCAACCTCACAAAAAGGCTATCAAATTGAGAGTTCCACCTCTTCACCAATAGACAACATGGAGGAGGGAGCGATCAATGGCCATAACACAAACCAAAACATCAACCACCACCACCAGCAAGAGAGGAGAGATGATCCACCTGAAGATCGTTCCACACGGAGCAAGCTAAACCAAAGAACTGGAGCCCGAGCTTTAGGTGTTGTCATTCCAACTGGCAACACCAATCTCGACATCACACCATCCTTCATCAACATGATCACAAATGGCTACACATTCTCAGGAGCAAGTATAGAAGATCCTCATGACCATTTGAGGAGATTTTGTAGCATTTGTGACACCATGAAGAATCCTGGCGTGTTAGATGATGCAATCCGGCTGCGTATGTTTTCATTCTCATTAATAGGTCGAGCGGCTCATTGGTTCCAAAACCTGGCGCCTCAATCTATCACCACGTGGGCGCAACTAGAAAAAGATTTCCTAAACAAGTACTTTCCACCATCCAAGGCTATGAAGAGGCAGAATGACATTGCAGATTTCGAGCAAATTGATGACGAGAGCCTAAGTGAAGCTTAGGAGCGTTAAAAAGAGCTACTTCTCAAATGCCCAAGCCATAGTCTAGAAGAATGGACTGTTATCTCCATATTCTGTGATGGAATAAATAGAGTATTTAGAGAAGCATTGAACCATGAATCTGGTGGAGGATTTACAACCATGGAGCCCGGAGCTGCCTACAACCTTGTTGAAAGAATATGCCTAAATGAAAATGAGTGGGGTGGAGAGAAGAGTTCTCGAATGAGAGGAGGTATCCATGAAGTAGACAAGTATATCGGCTTGGAAGCTCGACTAGAAGCCAAGTTGGATTCAATGTCTGAACTCATTGAGAGAAAGTGTATGTTGGGAGCTACTCAACCAAGAGAGGTCAACTATATGAAAAACCAAAGAAATCAAGGTGGTGTATACTCCAACACCTACAATTCTGGATGGCGTGACCATCCCAACTTCTCATGGTCCAACAACAATGTTGGAGCCCGAAGCAACAATGCGCCTCCTAGATTTCAACCTCAAGAACCTCTAGAAGAGAAGAAGCCCGCTTTTGAAGAGCTCCTATTTTCACACATGAGGAAGATGGAGAACAACATGAAGGGGCTAGATGAATTTGTTGCTCACACCACCAATCAACTTGAAGAACAAAAAGTGATCAACAATACTATGCAGACATCCATACTTAGAATGGGGGAGCAAATGAGTCAAATGACTCAAATTCTTGCAAATATTCAATATCGCATATCGGGAACTTCCCAAAGCAATATCGAGAAGAGTATGGATGTCTATTCCATAACGTTTAAAAGTGGAAAAGAGCTAAAGGAGACAACCCCAAAGATCCAAAATTCATCAAAAGGCAAGGAAGGTGCTGAAAATTTTTCTACAGAAAATTTAGAGACTGATGTGCAGGTTCAAAATGCAGGCACTTTGACACTGCACATGCATTCGTCAACTGCACCTCCAAAACATGAAAAATAAAAAGAAGAAGGAGTCAAGCCTTATGAACCCCCTGCACCTTTCCCTCAAAGATTGATGAAGCCCCAAGATGATCCAAACTACAAGAAATTCCTCAACCTCTTCAAACAACTCCATATCAACATACCATTGGCCGAGGCGTTGGAGCAAATGCCTACTTATGCAAAGATATTGAAAGAGTTGCTTACTAATAAGCGCAATTGGGTTGACATTGAGAAGGTAACCCTTAATTCTGAATGTAATGTTGTGATTCAAAATAAAGTTTCAAATAAAAGGGACGATCCAGGGAGTTTCACTATCCCTTGTATTATTGGTGGCAAAGAGTTTGATCATTTGCTTTGTGATCTTGGAGCGGCGGTCAACGTGATGCCTTTTTCAGTCTACAAGAAGTTGAGATTGAAAAGTTCTTTAAAGTCCACTCATATCACTATTTGATTGGCTGATCGTTCCACGAAGGTACCAAATGGAATAGTAGAGAATGTATTGGTCAAGGTGGGGAAATTCATATTTCCGGTAGACTTTGTTGTCTTGGAGATGGAAGAAGACCAATATGTTCCTCTCATTTTTTGAAGACCATTCTTAGCCACTGGCAATGCACTCATTGATGTAAGAAGAGGTAAATTGACCTTGAGAGTAGGTAAAGAGGAGGTAATTTTCAATTTCTTTCCATTTTATCATAATCATGAGTATTTTGATACCTCCAAAAGTAATGTCCAAGAAAGGAAAAGTACATCTTCCTCTCACAAGGTTATGCAAAAATTTCCAAAGTCGCAGATTAAAGAATTGGGAGAGGTACTATACTTGAAGGAGAATGAAACTGGACAAGTGAAAGAGCCATCACAAAAACTATCATCTCGAGTGGACAGATCAAAGCAAGGGCATGAATCTTCACCAGATTATCTAAAGCCAAAATATTTGGGTAAGGATTTTGATCTTCTTGTTGCTATTCCTTCTTCACTAACTTTTAAGCAAGAAGAGTACCTGCTTGAGGCACTTCAACATCACCTACGCCTCACCGATGGACTAAACAAGCATGCTAGAAAGGTTAGCCCCAATTTGCATACCCCTGGCTCAGCCAAGGTAACTCAAATGTTTAGATTGTGGTTATGCTTTCTATCAGTGTTCTGGTGGGTATTCTGGATATCTCTCAATTCCCATCGGTTGAAAGTGGCATAAATGTCAAGCTCGGGATGTTAAACAAGCTCTTCTTGGGAGGCAACCCGATGACACGCCAAAACACAACACCAAACTGCGACCAAGTGTAATCGCAGTCCGGGAATGCAGTAAAGTGGCAAGTTCTATTATCAACCCGGGGTCTAGATCTACTGCTTACTCCGCGATTATCTATTATCTAGCCAACTAAGTTAAGTGATTGTTGTTTAAAAAAAAAGCAGTAAGAAAGCAGGAATTGGTACGTTTTTCTCAAGCAAAGAAGAGTCACTCGGGAATGAGTCCCCCTAGCTCCTTAGTTAGGTCTCAATTGTAATTACCCTGGGTTGATTTACTGTTGATTAGACTGCAGAAGATCCGACAGTAGCTTGGAATCTCTTAACCTGACCAAGCCCTCTCAGTCTAACTATCCGGCAGACGACTAGTCTTCACCGGGATAGAAAGCTGAAGCAATAAGCACAGAACTCCACTACTGGAATTGGATTCCAGTACAAAGCAGTAAACAGGCTAAATCTCGTATAGCCAATCTCCTACTACCGAATGATGAGGCTCTAACAACCTAATCAGATTCTATCTATCTCAGGTTGCAGCAGAAATCAGGAAAAGCTGATCAGACTTCAATTGACTCAATATTCGATTAAAACCTAATAGTATAATCATCCCAAGTCATTACAATCAAATCCCTAACACATGGAACTAGGGTTCTTCATACCCAAGTGAGAGAAGGTTTCTACTCCATAGAGAGAGAGGAAAACAGAATACAAAGCAGTCACACTCATAACAATGGGAAGAATCTGCTCTGGGATGATGATTTCCACTCCTATGACGATCTCCAAGCTCGATTTGATGAAACCCAGCTCCAAGATAGCTTCTAGGATGTGTTCTTCGTACTTTCTCTCTCTAGGGCTCTGTTTTTGCTCTGAAAATCCGATCTTTTGGCTGAAAATCGAGTTTTAAACAGAAATTCCCGATCATGCGGCCAGGCCACACGGCCGTGTGGCTTTCCCAGATGCTCGTGTGAAGGCTCGGTGATTTCCACACGGCCACAACCCACACGGCCGTGTGGTGTTTCAGGATGCCCGTGTGGCTTGCTCAGCCTCTGTTTAATGCTTCGTTTCTCCCTCGTCCGAACTCCGAATCAGTCCCCATTTGATCCCAGACGCTCGTAGTCTTGTCCTCTTTCTTTTCATGATAAGCTTGCATGATTATTTGTCCATAAAGTGAGGTATAAATCCATTCTTCTTCAGGTCATGCCCGAGTTTCTTCTCCCGAATCGTCAATTGATCTCTGATTGATTTGAAACTTGCGCCTATGCTTCACTTTATGTGCTAGGACCTGAAATGTGACAAAGGAACACAAACTAGCATAAAATAGGACAAAGACGCCATAATTCAAGCTCAAACAATCAAGAAACAAAGGGGAAAACATGTGCAAATATCGAGTCATCAAATCCCCCCACACTTAACTGTTCGCTTGTCCCCAAGCAAACCTAACTCAAACCAATGCAGCTCTCCAGACCTCTATAGCAACAAACAACCCCGATCATCGGTAGAGGATTTCCTAGATCATATAGCAGCTTACGAGGTCAACTGGTCTTCTAAGACGTCCCCTATCTCTCTCAATGCGAGTACTAGACTCAAGCCAGGAACATGAGAAGAAGTAGAAGTAAGACAGTCAGTTCATGGACAAAGGGACTCACACCATTCACAACCAAGGACTCGTTGTACCAGGGTGCTCTTTCACTTCATTTCACCGTTGGAACCCCTTTTTGCACTTTCATTTACATTTCTTTTTCTCTTTTTTTTCTTCATTCACTTGGCGGGGGTTCCAACTGCAGTCTTTTGCACGCTCGACCCTTATTAGTCGAGCAAGAGCAATTTTTGTACATCTAGCGCTCGCCAGCGTACTTCTTTTAACTCCTTTTCCTCAACTCGTGTGGAGGGTCAATGATATCAAGGGGGGTCGGAAGCTCTATCCGTGCCCTTAAAAACACATCCTCAAGTAAACAAACCGTTCAACCGGTGAAAATTTTACTTGTACTAGAGACAGCTTAGCTTCACCTTGTAGGAGTACCCCACTAAGGATCACTAAAATCTCTTCCAAAACCCGATTTTGTGCAATGAACGGTGCCACACACGTTGGGCTTACCCCATGTTTAAGATTTCAATGATATCGACATGGAGGACCAACTGCTTCCCATTTTCCATATGAGCACCCTGTTCGATACACGATTCCATAACACAATCCAAACAGAGTCACCATTACCACATGAATTCAACAGTCTTAGCTCCACTAATTCACAAAATCAACTGGCACAACAGAGAGCTAGATAGGAAAAATCTTATACTTCAACATCCTCCATAGTGCTACACTACCTCCCTAGGTTGCACATTACTATAGAGAAGTCGATTCAAAGCATACTGAGCAGGCAATTTGCAAGGAAACATGTACTTGGAGCCCTCAAATTTAAAATTTTGGACAGTGGACTAGGCTCCAAGCACACAAACAGCCAAACATTCACCCGCATACATAATCGAACACCCCCACACTTAAGCACGACATTGTCCTCAATGGAGGAAAGATAAGGAGGGTAGAACGAAGTTACCAGATCAAGGGTAAATGATGATGGACGGGTCAGGCGGTGCATTCCAGGAAGAGAGAGTAATCAGAACGCAAACACCACACAAAATCTCACAAAGGTTGAGTTATTGACTCTAAAATCAAATAACAAAACTGACTCAACCGAGGAGAAATAGAGAAAGAAATGCAAACCGACTGGTTGGGTTGCCTCCCAACAAGCGCTTCTTTCACGTCGTGAGCCAGACGATGGCTCCTAAGTTTCGGTCCATGCTAGAACCTCCTTGAAGTTGAGGTTCTCGTCAATGAGGTGGAGTCGCAAGTCACGAGCATGTGGTATGACTGGTGATGGAAGCTCGTGCACTTGATGCAGATGAAGTCTCCATCCTCGAGACCTCTTCTTCTCTTCTCTCGTCCCATTGTCCCAAACCAGATATGACAGCATCGATTGGCCATCATCGCGTCCACCAAGTGGGACCGATGTCGATGTGGCCTTGGTCTGGCAAAGAGACACTGCAAATGGGTCCTTGCTAAGCAGTTCCTCGAAGTTTGGTGGGGATATTACTTGTATTATAGGGCCGGTGCAAGCCTCTTCCACCTCAACTTCATCCTCAGCCTGGACACCACTCGCTTCTTCAACCCCCCTTCCTTCTTCATGTGGTATCACCCCTGGGAAATGATCAAGAACTCCTCCTACTTCACTTTCGTCATCCTCCACAAGTTCTTTCTGCACCCTTTCTTGCTCTTCTTCTTCTAGCACAGATTGGAGAGCAAGTCGCCATGTAATTTCTTCAATGAGATCATCTTGCATCTCCTCGTTCAGGCCCAGCATGTTAGAGCAGAAATAAGGAAATGTGTGATCTGCAACCAGAGGACTTTCCTGATCATGATTATCATGGGAGTTCTCTGTGATAACTTCTGTATGCTCCTCAACATCCTCGTAGCCTTTGTCATCCTCCACCTCTTCTAGTGTGGTAGCAGAAAGGTGATCTTGAGCAAGATGTGAGCAAACTTGCTCCACCCACTCTGTTTGCTTCGCTGAGCGCTGAACAGTATCCTCCATTTCATGGAGAAATGAGGGATCGGAAGGGGCAAGGGCTTTGATTTGAAGATCCATCTTGGAGCATGATCTCTCAGTGTCTCGAGCAAACTGCTCCACAAGAAGCCTTAATTGTTTGTTCGGATCTTCCAGTGAAGTGTAGCATGGCTCTGCATAGTGGCCCGTGAAGGCCGCCATGGGTAACTCCAGCTCCAATGGCCCTTCTGGTTGTGGGAGAAAGTCTTCTTGATAAGGAGGTTGTTCTTGATATGTCCATGGGTCTGATTGTTCACCGTAGTAAGGGGGTTGGTACTGGAACCCGAATCCATAGTCTTCTCCTCCTTGATTGCTCCAGGGGGTCTCGGGGTAATACCACTCCGATGGTGGTGGATACCCCCAATGGTTGGAGAAGCCATGTGGATCCATGATTCAGATCTACACCAACAAAAAAAAAACAAAAAAAAAAACACCCAAGTGAAAAGCAAGGGCGGAAAACAAAAGAAAAACGCTAAAGTAACAAACTTCTGCCTTTCCTAATAATCTAGAAAGTCCCCGGCAACGGCGCCAAAAACTTGACACGCCAAAACAGAACACCAAACTGCGACCAAGTGTAATCGCAGTCTGGGAATGCAGTAAAGTGGCAAGTTCTATTATCAACCCGGGGTCTAGATCTACTGCTTACTCCGCGATTATCTATTATATAGCCAACTAAGTTAAGTGATTGTTGTTTAAAACAAAAGCAGTAAGAAAGCAGGAATTGGTACGGTTTTCTCAAGCAAAGAAGATTCACTCGGGAATGAGTCCCCCTAGCTCCTTAGTTAGGTCTCAATTGTAATTACCCTGGGTAGATTTACTGTTGATTAGACTGCGGAAGATCCGACAATAGCTTGGAATCTCTTAAGCTGACCAAGCCCTCTCAGTCTAACTATCCGGCAGACGACTAGTCTTCACCGGGATAGAAAGCTGAAGCAATAAGCACAGAACTCCACTACTGGAATTGGATTCCAGTACAAAGCAGTAAACTGGCTAACTCTCGTATAGCCAATCTCCTACTACCGAATGATGAAGCTCTAACAAGTAACAACCTAATCAAATTCTATCTATCTCAGGTTGCAGCAGTAATCAAGAAAAGTTGATCAGACTTCAATTGACTCAATAGACATGCATCATTCGATTAAAACCAAACAGTATAATCATCCCAAGTCATTACGATCAAATCCCTAACACATGGAACTAGGGTTCTTCATACCCAAGTGAGAGAAGGTTTCTACTCCATAGAGAGAGAGAGGAAAACAGAATACAAAGCAGTCATACTCATAAAAATGGGAAGAATCTTCTCTAGGATGATGATTTCCACTCCTATGACGATCTCCAAGCTCGATTTGATGAAACCCAGCTCCATGATAGCTTCTAGGATGTGTTCTTCGTACTTTCTCTCTCTAGGGCTCTGTTTTTGCTCTGAAAATCCGATCTTTTGGCTAAAAATCGAGTTTTAAACAGAAATTCCTGATCACGCGGCCAGGCCACACAGCCGTGTGGCTTTCCCAGCTTCCCGTGTGAAGGCTCGGTGATTTCCACACCGCCACAACCCACACGGCCGCGTGGTGTTTTAGGATGCCCGTGTGGCTTGCTCAGCCTCTGTTTAATGCTTCGTTTCTCCCTCGTCCGGACTCCGAATAAGTCCCCGTTTGATCCCAGACGCTCGTAGTCTTGTCCTCTTTCTTTTCATGACAAGCTTGCATGATTATTTGTCCATAAAGTGAGGTAGAAATCCATTATTCTTCAGGTCATGCCCGAGTTTCTTCTCCCGAATCGTCAATTGATCTCTGATTGATTTGAAACTTGCGCCTATGCTTCACTTTATGTGCTAGGACCTGAAATGTGACAAAGGAACACAACCTAACATAAAATAGGACAAAAACGCAATAATTCAAGCTCAAAAAATCAAGAAACAAAGGGGAAAACATGTGCAAATACCGAGTCATCACCTGATGTTTGTTTTACTTGCACAATTTCACGTTTTAGGACGTTTGGAGGATCTCCATAAAATTTGAGCTCCAAATTCTTTGAGGAAGGTATTTTTTTCCAATTTTATAGGTGCATTGGCAGAATGCTTTGGTGAAAATGTGCAGCCGAAAAATGCTTTTTGCAATGGAGAAATGTAGTATGGGGTGGAATGCAACACTAATGGACTTGAAAGGTTGAAAAAGCCATCAAGAAGAAAAGAGGAAACATAAAACACTTTCTTTCCTTTAGTTTATTTAAAAACGAAAAAAAACAATATAAAAAAGAGAAGTACATCGAGTTTCTCACTCTAAGTCCTTTTTTATTGTTCTTGGTTCTTCTACTTTTTTCTATAAAAAAATTCACCAAACTCACAACCTCTACTGACATCATTCTAAAATCCACCTCATCAAATCAAAAAATAAAAAATTCATGCATTCTTCCCCTCCCTCACTTTTCCTCAAATTCTAGAGTTTTAAATGCTCCCGTTGCCCACACAATAACTTATCAATATTCAACCTGAGCTTCCCCACCAACAAGCATGCACGCCGGCCTATCCTCGTCGGGGTACTTCTTCCCCATCACTACTCACCTCACTCTTATACAACTTGTCCCAAGGTTTTTCTTCTTTACCTTTATTTACTTTTGTTTTATGTGTTTGCATGTTTATAAACTAGTTTTGAACATTAGGGATAATGTTTCATCCTTAGTGTGGGGTGGAGAGTTTTAGTTTCATTTTAGAGCATGTACTTGTATATGATGCTTGGTGAAGGTGAGTCGTTCCTTCTTTGTTTGATGTGTTGTGTATTGAACTTGATAGGGTATAATTTTGCTGCTTGAAATGATTGTGTGAATGATTTGTGAACTTATTGTGCTTCAGTGTATGAATTTGCCTTTCGGTTATCCCAAGTTAACCTTACAATGCATAACTTGTGTTGCAAGTAGGATTGACTGTTTCACATGACGTACCTTCTATTAAAATTCACTGACTAGAATTGAACTGTGCCCGAACTTAAGAGAAATTGAGTATGACTTGTATAGAGTAGGGTATGGCATCTAGTAGCCGAGAGTTTGAACCTTCAAAGTCAATTTCATATTGTGTGAAGTTTTTCATTGCTTTGTGTCTCGGTAATCTTGATCAAAACCACACATGGACTGTGTTGTATATATGCTAGCATAAACGATAGAGACAATTAGTGCAACTCGAGCCAAAAAGCCTACCCTATCATTGACAACTAGGATCAACCCCTTTGAGACTTTGCCTTGTTTTTCGGTTCGATCACACCTTCACCTTCACCTTCACCTTTACCCCTTTTTTTATCCCTCATTGAACCCTTCTCATGAGGAATGAGGTCTTTTGTATGATCATAGTGACCCATTTTCATTTTCATGGTTTTGTAAATAAAGTTGATGTTCTAAGGTAGTAGTTGAAGCTATAGTTGAGAGATGCATTTTGCCACTGCAGTTTGCAATGTGACACTGCATATGCATTCAGCCACTGCACCTTCTATTGCATCATTTTGTCTTCTACTACTTAGAAAAAAAGTATTGATCATCAATGGTCTTTTAGTATCATCCCCATAAAAAAATCAGCTTAAAAAAATAATTAAAAAAAGAAAAAGAGAAAGTGAAAGTGAAAAAGGGGGACGAATAAATAAAGATCGATGAATCATCTTTGGGAATCAATGTTCTTCCCTTGTTGTATAGTTCTAGTTGCTTATGTTATGTATTTTTCATTTGTTCAATGCCTCGATATTAGATAGTTCTTGATTTGGGTATACTTTTGTAGCTCATTCCTCGTGAGGATCACTATTTCCCTCCTCTGAAACCTCACCTTAATCCTTAGCCTTACGCATATTGCCTGAACATTGTCATCTTGATATGCTTGTGTTTGTACAGATCGGTCCAATAGTGGTTGAAGAACAAGATTCAGATAAGCACTAGTAATGGAAAACTTGAATGTAAACACCAACCTTTAAACACTTGTGTGATTGAGTGAAATACACATTTCTAGTTAGGGAATCTAGACGCCATGCTTTTACTCTTAACTTCCCTTAATCTTTGTTTAAATGAGTTTTGGACAATCCACTATTAGTGTGTTTATTCTTTGTGTAGGGTACATCATGTGATGGAGTGTAATCTAACTTTCAAGTCCAGGTATGCATGGAAAGGTGGAATTTAATGATAGTGTATATACATAGATGTCTACACCAAAGCATAGTAGGTCCACAGCTAGTCACATCGTCACTCAAGCAACAATGTTATTAGTCTAGTCTTAAGAGTAGTGTGTTTTTTATTTGAGTGCTAGGAGTCTTAGTTGTATATTTATTTGCTTCTCTTTCAATCATTTCTCTCTTTTGCTTAAGGACAGGCAAATGGTAAGTGTGGGGTTGTGATAAGCTTAATAAACATACATGTATTATGTGCATAAATTGATCCTTATGCATGTATGTGTTTAAATTGCTCTAAATTAGTTCATATTGACCACGGAATGACCCTAGTGTCATTACCAAGACATGTAGCAATTTAACGGAGATTGAAGCTAAGATTGTGAATAAAACAAAGTGCAGTGGACGAATGCAGGTGCAGTGGCAAACGTCCAGCAGGACGCCAAACCGATAAAGACCCAAATCGAATTATTGTTGGTTGGAATCTTCACTCAACCGTCAGCAGCCTCAGAAATCATTGGAATTGGATAATTTTTCTTGAAGTGAGAAAATGGATTTGGTGGCTCGCCAATTGATAAAAAGATGCAGAAAAATAAATGCAAAGAGAGAGACTTAAGCTGGCAGCAGCCTTCTCTTGGAAATGAGATCTGTAATTGCCTTATTTTGTGGGATTGAATCTGCAGAAAATGGATTTAAAGGGGGCAGCAACTAGGGACCTTAGTAGACACTTTTGGAGACATATTTGGAGAGAAAAATCGAAGGAGAGAGCTCACTTTAACACACTTTGGAGTTTAGCATTTTGAAGAAAGGAAGACTCTTATAAGTTGCGGATTAACTTTAACACTTAGTACTTTCTCTACTCCTTTGTTTAGTTAATTAGTTATCATGTTGAACATTAGCATGTTTATGTACTTTCTTTTCATCATGAACTAATCCCCCAATTTCTGGGGGAAAGTTATGGATTTCATTGTCTAGCATTGATGTTTTAATCACAACTTGTCTTTCCTCCATTTTCTATCGTGTGAAATTGTGTAAAGCTTTGTGTTGATTGGCCACCTTCACGATGATTTGTAGTGTTATAGGTTAATAACGATAGTGAAGACCTAGTAACCGAACACATTTCACACGACATAATTGCCTATTGAAGCGATAGTGGATTAAATAGGAAATTATGCAGTCATTTTAGGGGTATCGTTCTTAAGGCTAATTAATCAATTCAGTTAACTACGCTAGTAGAAATTGTCTTAATTAGTTAGTACGTGGTAATTCTTAATAGAGATAGCTATCAATTTAGAGGTATCCTGACTATAAATATATGGATTAAATTGATTGACAAGGGTAATTAAAATTATCAAGGTAAATAGTAGAACCTTGTGTTTCCCCCGGAACTCTCAAAAGTTAATTTCTCCAAAATATTTCATTTTTCGAGTTTGTTAATTTCAGTAATTCTACAACTCATCACTTGATTACAACCTTTGCAATTTCTACAGTTTCTTGAACTAAATTTGTTAATTATTGAATTTCACCAATCCCCTAGAGAACGATACTTTTACTTACACTTTATTACTTGTACAATACTGTGCACTTGCAGGTTTGTCGCCACCAGAGGTCTTAGTAGCAATGAGGATGACTATGGACCTTTCCTAACACAAGAAAGATTGGAGAAGTAGCATATGAAGTGCAGCTGCCCCAAGCAATACATCTAGTATTCCATGTTTCTCTACTGAAACGGGCTGTTGAGCTCAGGTGACCATCCTACCAGCCCTGCCTGAATATGACAATGCTGGAGAATTGAAGGTAGAGATTGGGAGGTTTATTGCTCAAAATATTCATGTTGTAACTTAGGTGATGCTGCAGTGGTCACGTAAGGAGGAAGCATATTCTACTTAGGAGTTCCTTGAAAGCTTCAAGGTAAAATATTCACACTTGAGGACAAAATTTGGCTAACTATGAAGAGTGATGGCATGTTGGAGCACCCCTCCTGGTGTGACTAGGGGGTAACAAACATACTCCTCCTAGTATGACGAGGTGGGGTAAAATTTGGCTAAGTGTTGGAACACCCCTCGTGATGTGATGAGAGGGTAATCGACATACCTCCCTAGTGTGATGAGGTGTGGGAAAATTTGGCTAAGTATGAAGAAGGATGGCAAGGTGTGTGGCGCAGTATGCCCATAGAAGATGAGATATGGCCAAAATTTGGTTAAGTGTTTGAGTACTCTTCATGGTGTGATTTGGAGGGATGGGGGGGTAATCAACATATCCCCTTAGTGTGACAATGTGGGGTAAAAATTGGCAAAGTATGGAGAATGATAGCTAGGTGAAATATGGTAAAATTTGGATAAGTGTTGGAACACCCCTCTTGGTATGATTAAGGTGTTACCAACATACTCTTTAGTGCAATACCGTGGGTAAATTTTGGTTAAGCACGGAGGATGTGACGATGATACCCCCTAATGTGATCAGGGGGTAATCAACATACCCCTTGGTGCAATGTCGTGAGGTAAAATATGACTAAGTAGAAGAAACCTACCTTGGTGTGACTAGGTTGGGGTTCGGCGATGGAGTACCCCACCCCCCTCCCCCGCGCGGTAGTGTGATGAGGTGGGGTGAGGACATCAAGTGGCAAGAGGGTCACCTCTACCGCTCTCGTGGTTAAAAGTGATAAACTATTTATGTCACTTTGACCCATCACTACAACAAAACTTGGATTTAGAGACAGATGTTATTTGCCTCTAAATGACATTTATTTGTCTCTATATATCTATTAAAGCAGATATATTATTTGAATCGGACGCCTCTGTCTCTAATTCCTTTTAGACGTAAATGTAGAAACAAATAATATCTGCTACTGATTAAGGAATTGTATGCAAATTTATTTGATACAAATTTTCTATTATTAAAACTTGTACTTCGCTCCTTCAATATCTTTTATAGACAGATGTAATTGTTTCTCATTCTAGTTTTGTAGACAATGCTATTTTCTCTTTTACTTTTAGAGATAACAACCCTATTTTCTTCTTTATTTACTTTTAGAGAGAAATAAAATTGTTTGTCATTCTAGTTTATGAGAGAATTTTATTTGTTTGTAAAGAGTCTAATGAAGACATTGATTATACATTCTGAGATAAATAAGTTTGTAGGTATTTCAACATTTTGCGTGGCCATTTTTATATTAATATCGTTTAATTACTATTTTTTACTATACCAATAAAGCTTTTTTTTATTACCTATACCAATAAAGCTTTGATAAAAAGAAATTTTCTAATATTAAATGAGAAACAAAAGATTCCCGTGTATAATCAATGACTGTTAATACAACAAAACTAGTACAACAGAGTACACACAAAGGAAAAATAATACAATCTAAGGATGAGAAACAACATAAACACCGAAATCATGGATTCTTTTAGTGAAGAAGTAAAGGCCACAAGAACTCCAATATGCAGAGAAGTCGTGAACTTTAAATATAGCACAGCCCCACTTATACCATCATCAACGTCTACCACCTCCCAAAGCAACAACCTTTTGATCCATTCATTTTCTTCAGCTCTTGCTTTGTTATAGTCTGGACTAGATGCACATACATAACTACATAAGTTTCCTACGTTGTAGGGTATACCAACATTAGAGGTATAAAAACATTGTACACTCAAGATTCCAAACTAAACACGAACTTACCAGCTCAGGCCTTAGCTTATGAGTTTTTTGAGGATGAATCAAGCTTGTAAACTTCTAAGAAATTCTATTGTGACCCACATTAATCCTTACCACTGTCATCTAAACCTAGTTGTTTTTCCTGTTGCAGAAAAACGAATCGGCTCAATTGCATGACTATGAAATACATATACATCATAGTAATCTGACAAAAAGTGTGGAAGTCTATCTTTTTAGCACGAGTTTAATCTCACTGGCCTTTAATAACTCACATACTTTCCCCAAATTCGTTCCTGCCAAATGCTTTTTAGTAGCCTGTATTTCAGAAATTCTCTTTCTTTTGTTTGAATAAAGAAGAAGAAATTATGCACCTAAAGCTACAAACTTATATTTTTGGTACTCGTGACATATTCAACAATCATTCGCATAACCAAGATGGCTTCGAGGTAAACACTTAAAAACCAACTTATGTCGAAGAACACTATACCTGATTGAATAGAGTGGTAACTGCAAACCCTCAAGATCAAATGTATTATCCAAGTAATGAACAATTGAAGAACCAGCAGGAACCTTATGAACAACATCGCACCACATCACAATCCCCTCAACTCCTTTCCTCCCCTTTCTTCTCCACCTAAATCTCAACGCATCAAATATCAGCATCTTTTGGCCTCAAGAAGAATAGCTACATCAAAACCGAGCATCACTAAGAAGATGCTCCTCGATGGCTACTTCATCCTTGAGCTCGTCCTTTAGCATTTCAAACTGGATCTACAGCGGCCCAATCTTCCCCTGGCCAAAGATGATTCACAATCTCCAGCAATTCCACAAAATAGCCACAACCTCCTTCTCCTAATCCAAAACTACTACTTCCAATTAAAACCAGAGGGAAAGGAAACAACAACAAAAGGAGCCCGAGATATGGCTATCCTAGTGTCGAGGGATGATGATACCTTTACTTAAGCTTATCAACAGAGGTAAGGGAAGGCGGCAGAGTGCAATTGAAGTCTCAAAAATTCGGGAAGGATGACAACGACATCGGTGCAACACTAATCTGACCAACTAAACCCCCAGTTCTTGGCGATTTTAGATCTATCATCGAGAATCGACGTTGAGCAGCAAAGGATCCCTCTGAACGAAGAACTAGCTTCCTTTGTCATTCCTGTCACCGGGTGCTGAAGGATGTTGCCGAGAATGAAAGGTGCGCTGGATCTGGTGGCTGCGGCGCCAAATCGGGAGGCCATTGTGGAGTAACGGAAATCACCAGACGGAGAGGAGGCGGTTGGGACAGAATAGATGGCGATGGCAGTGGCGGCGACGGTGGTGGTGGATTGGTGGTGGGAGATTTAGTGGCGGCTCAAGGCGAAGAGGTATAGACGAGGGTGGATTACTGTGACTCTCTTCTTTCTTCTTCCTTTTACTAATTTTTAAAAGAAAGCATTGGGATTTGGGAGAGATGAAGGGAACATAAAGGGTTAATTACTAATTAGGGTGACTGCCTAGTGCCACTGTGACACGTTCCAGTTAGGTGTTCCACGATATGATATTGTGGCAATTAAATGTGTCTCTAAATGTGGTTTAGTGGTATGGCACACAACTTTAGTAGTAATTACAACAATCGACTCTATAGCTCATATTTTGATTTCTTTTATATTTCTTAATGATAATATATTTTGATACAGTAGCAAATAATTCTAATTATAGAATCAAATAATTTAATAGTCTCAAATGCTTATCTTTAGATGCTAACATATCAATTACTTCTAATTATTTGTCTCTAAAAGCAAGTTTTTTTTGGTAGTGCATGTGATTCGATTACCCATCCAAATGTGGCAAGGGGGACTTCATGCCTTAATTGTTTTTCTTTTTCTCAAATAATAAGCAAAGCTAAGGAAAAGCTATCAAGAAGAGGGATTCAAGACGACCGCGGAGGGGGGGGGGGGGCATAGCCAATGTCAGGGCATCGTCAGATCAGTTAAGAGGGTAACCGTCGATGCTCAACTTTAGCTGAGCAGTTTCTTGATGCATTTCAGTTTCTCGATGCATTTACTTTTGATGGCTATAAATAGGAGGTGGAGATGACATAGCAGATGTTCGCTAAATTCACACCAGACAACACAATGCCAACTGTTATACTTTAATCTTTTTCTCTGCAAATTTAGTCATAGTCGTAGTTCCGAAACTCTCATTGAACCTCCACAGGAGTAGACTAATTTAATTTAGTTTCATTTCGTAGATAATAAAAAATGCCGAACACTCTTGTTCGAATTTTGCTCAAAGTGGTGTGAATCGCGTTTAGAAATCGTTTGTAGGAACTAGTCCAGGTGCAATCAGTTTCATTTCAACACAAATCTTCTCGCCGGAAAACATCTAGTGAACGATAATACTAAATATACTTAAACTAATCAACTTAATACTACAAATCATTATTAATATTACACCCAGATGAAGAACTAGCATAAGCCCATATAAATGTGAACTTTGAATTGAGTTTTCTGAGTTTATGAGAATGAGTTAGCCGGACAGTAAGTAGTGTAAGGAAGTTGATAATTAAGAGAGGATGGCACGCAGGCTATTGAGGTATTCGTGCATGTCTTCGGGATGATCGTCGAGCTTGGGGCGCTCAGGTTGCATCCAACGGCCGTCCTGCGTCCTGATCAACCCTTTGTTGTGGTCTTGCCGCCAGAAGGGCGGAACCATGTGATGGTCCTGCAGAAAATCGGATCCCTTGTTCACCAATGCAGGGTCCCTCCCGCTTGCCAGCGCGAATCTCTGCCCTTTCCCATGATACCTGATAATAATCAAGCACAAATGACATTGGCAAGGAGAAGAAAGGTACACTGATTAATTGGTCATTATGCTACTGTTTGATTCTATGGTAGCTTTTACCAATGTGGTTGAAGGTTGGAGTTTTGTAAGCAAATGTAGTTTGGAAAAAAAAAGTAATCGAATGTTCAAGTCGAATAAATCAACGTCAGACCATATATTTTGTGTTTAAGTTGTGGCGCAATCAGTGGAACTTTTTTTTTTCAATCAGACCATGATATGATTTTGAAAATATGGATACAAATAATGGCATAAAATAGGTGAAAAGAATAGAAAGTGGAAAAAATTAATAAAATACTAAAACTTAGGGCCCGTTTAGTATCGTTGTCTGTTTTTGTTTTCTGTTGTGATTTTAAAAATTGTGAAAACCAATAAAAAAAAAACATGTTTAGTTGGGTTTTCAAATTTTGTTGTGCAACAGATTTGAGCAACCAGGCCCAAATTAACAAAACGTCAAATTGTAGCTTCGGAGGCGTTGCACGCGGGTTTCCCCTTCCATTAATTGATAATAATTATTTTATTCCTTTATTCCATAACCTTTCTTCTTCCTTCTCTAATAGCGTATCGTCCTCTTTCTTTCTTCCTTTGTGCGCCGATCCGGCAATCCCAGCCGGCGATCCAAATCTCACCTGCAGATGGGCGACCTGAATGCCCACAGCGCCGACGAGGCCGACGCTCCAATATCCTAGAATCCCCTACTTTTCAACGACACCGACGATCCCAACACTCACATCGCCGACGATCCCCTTTCCCCATCCCTATGATCCCAAATCCCAAATCATAGTGTCAACGACCCCAAGCCTTTCCCCCCTTCATGCGATTCAAGCCCACTGTTACTCTTGTCCAGATTATGTCCTTTAATGGGTTCCTGCATCTCGACTGCGGCAGAGGGGCAGCGGAGGCGATCTGGACATGGAGGAAGAGAGGCGAGACGGGAAGGCAATGGCAATGAAAAGGTCGCTTCTCATTGCAAAATTTGCTGCAATTTTTCCCGATCAAAATAAAGGATTGAAAGAATTGAAAAAAGTCGCGACAGAGAAAGTGTGAGAGGCTGATTTGAGTTGCTGATTTTTCTGCGTGAATGGCTAATTTTTCTGTTTAGTATGGTTGTTGATTTGTGTTTTGTTGGTGTTGTTGTTTCTCTTGTGTTTACACAACCTTTTTAAAACACAACATAATAGAAACGGTACTAAACAGGGCCTTAGAAAATAGTAATTTTAGAGGAAGTCTTGGAAAATTGGGTTAACACATAGGTTGTGTTTGCTTCATCATTTCAGCATCGAACTTTAAGTGTTTTTTTTTGGAGTTGCTAAAGGTCGCCCTTAGAATTGCTAAAGGTCGCTCTAAAAAAGTTTAAAGTTACACTTATAACCCCCTATCTTCTTTACCTTCCTTTTATCAAACAAACACCACTTGACCTAAAAAAACACTATCTAAGGAGAGAAAAATCCACTTTACCTTCCTTTTTTAAATTTTTATATCATATAACTAAATTAACATTATAACTAAATTAACATTTATCGAATACGTTATCATTAAATATAATTATAACCAAATTATTTTTATTAAATATATTTTTTAATTTTTTTATTATTATTAACATTTATAACACAGAATTTAAAAAAACGAATTTAAAAAAAAAAAGGCCCGACCGCA